TGTGTGTGCCCAACAAGCTCCAGAGCAGATTAAGTTTTAGGCTATGTTTACAAGGAAACGATTCTGAAGAGAAAACGCAAAAGTGGCGTTGTGTAACTTGCGTTATCACTTTTTATTCTGTGTTTAGACGAGCGTTTTGTGTGGGAAATCCGCGTGCATATGATGACGCAAAAGTGTGTGAAATTCAATGTAGTATGCACTTCAGGTGGCTAGGAATGCATACTACAACAACACCAAGTCCGCGCGCCTGCGTACAACCTTCACTGTCAAGCAGATTTTTGCGTTTTTACCCTTTGCACGGGAACGCGATGGTGGAGCGTTTTTAAGATTTCCACTCTGGAGGGTAGTTTCAATTTTTTTGGGTTTTTAAGCCCCAAAAACGCCGTCGCCGTGTAAACGAAAGGCACATCCGATAAAATATTTTTACGTTTTCACCCGTGAGCGTTCTCGTGTAAACTGGGCCTTAGGTAATAAATCATTAACCGAAAATGGACAATTAGTTGTGAGCATTAAGTGACCATTGTCCACACGTAAAGGATTATTAGGAACACCTGTTCAATTTCTCATTAACGCAAATTATCTAATCAACCAATCACATGGCAGTTGCTTCAATGTATTCAGGGGTGTGGTCCTGGTTGTTGGTGCCAGACGGTCTGAGTATCACAATCTGCTCAGTTACTGGGATTTTCGCGCACAACCATTTCTAGGGTTTACAAAGAATGGTGTGAAAAGGGAAAAATATCCCGTATGCGGCAGTCCTGTGGGCGAAAATGCCTTGTTGATGTTAGAGGTCAGAGGAGAATGGGCCGACTGATTCAAGCTGATAGAAGAGCCACTTTGACTGAAATAACCACTTGTTACAACCGAGGTATGCAGCAAAGCATTTGTGAAGCCACAACACACACAACCTTGAGGCGGATGGGCTACAACAGCAGAAGACCCCACCACTCATCTACACCACAAATAGGAAAAGTAGGATACAATTTGCAAGAGCTATGGAAGTAAAATAATGCCAAATGTCTTTGAAACAAAAAGCCTGTTGAATTGTAGGCTACTTGAAAAAAAAATATGCACTACATTAACCCTGCTTGTATTTTAATACATTGTATTTTTAGGGCTTGCATTTTTATGGGCTGAAATTTAACAAGGTTGAATAATTAAGCTATGAATATTTAAATTCAAAACATTTCAAACATATTTTCATAAGTAAAATTTTGATAATCCATATTATTCACCTTTCATAATTTACCTCTAAAATATTCAAACTGATTAAAAATACAACCTATAATATTCAAAAGGCGGTTTTCGGTCCATTTTACTTCACATTCTTATGAAATAAAGTAATTTCATTAAAGTAAAATAAAATAATTACTTTCCATTAAACCGGAAAACAGCATGGAAGTATCATAAAAGCAAACCTTTATATTCTGTATGGGACACTTGATCTATCCCACATTAAAAGCTTTAGTATCATAAAACCAAGTCAATTAAGTCTAAATGTGTGTTTTAAGCTGTACATGTTGACAGAGTCACTACAGAGTCGGCACACTGTCCTCTGGCGGAGAGACTGAGGAACTGCAGCTCCATATATTACAGTAGTCGTTCTTATTTTATCCAAATCTGGGAAGTTTATGTTGGTCAGACACCTAACGCTCGCTATCTTTTCACATATCGGGCCAGGTCGGGATGCAGATCTCCTCAGCTACCTTTCTATTTGACCTGCACTCTTCTAGCATTTCAAGCCCTCTCTAAGAGCTGTGCTGCCACTCCCCTATATGTGGTCCTAAATCTGAATTTTATTGTCTATGCTATGATTAAACTCTGTTACTGCATACTACACTACCAGTCAGAAGTTTTGGATCTGTAAGATTTTTTAACGTTTTTAAAAGAGGTCTCTTCTGCTCACCAAGGTTGCATCTCAGAAGGTGAAGCACTGCTACTTGAGCGGAGTGATTTGCGCAACACATCTGCGAACTCTCTGCTCCACACCACAGTGCGTCTCAACTGCGGTAATCACTCCGCCCAAGCAGCAGTGCTTCGCCTTCCGAGAATATTGTTCCAAGTGCGTATACGGTTAAACGATGGCGGTGTCTCATATGACCTTGTTATTTGTACACACTGTGACTTTAAAAATCACAACATGTAAGAAAAAAATGTTGGCGTTATTTTGTTACTTATTGGGATTAGTATGCTAGCTGGAGCCATTTACTTCCAGTCTTTGTGCTAAGCTAGGCATGCGGTGAGTTTGTCAGACAGAGTTACAGGACTCACGGAGATGAAAAGGGTATTTATAGACTTAATATAAATCATACAAAATTATTATTATCATAAATAAGAATTGATAAAACCCAAACGTTTTGTCTTCAAAAATCATTTGCTTGCTATATGTAGTGATAGTGACTGTTAATTTGGAGTACCACTCACAGCTGATTGGTCAAATTTCGTTTTGGGTTCAGATTAACAGTGGAGCATTACTATGGTGATGAACACTAAACAAACTAAACTCCAACATACCTGACGGTAGAGATAGGATTGGGTTTGGGATTGGAAGTACGTCAGGGGGCTATACCATGAAGCCGGTTTAGGTGGCTAGTATGTTTTAGTTTAGTTTTCACCCTGGGTTTTAGGCACCATGAAAGTGGTTTGGCTTTTAGCACTGCTGATGTCACGCCTAAACTCAGCATCAAACCCTGAGCTGACAGAGAAGTTGATCAGCATCATGCTACCAACAAAGCCTGGTTGGCTTGGGTTTGTCAAATTGAAACTAATCATGTAACTTTGAGTTTTTGGCACAACAGGCCCCGATAACAACCATATCACGACGAGATATCACAAAAGTCTGAGTCGACAACATGCCATACGTGGCTTATGTACATTTCAGAAAACCACTTGAACACAAATATAATACAAACAGTGCTTCACCTGGCTGCAGCGAGCCAGACTAAAAACCCATATCTTACCTTGATATGGCTGGTGTCTGCTCAAGTCGGAGTCGACTTGAATTTAAAATGTTGATTATATCTTCATAATAATCCAAATCTGCTGGCTTTCCTTCTAAAAACAACATGTTTCTTTCTAAAATCAGTCAGATAGCCATGTGTCGCTGCAAGTTGAAATCCGTATATTGGCGCGAAGAAAACGTAACTGCGTCACGTAACTGACGAGACTAATTAGCATATTTTGATTCATTTTAGGATACAGATCTAATTAATGCATGAAAAAAATAAATCATTTTTAAAAATAATTTTAAAGGAATTGTTCAAAGCTAAAAATGTGTATTGAATAAATAAATAAACAAATAAATAAATTAGAAATAAATAAATAAATAAATAGGCCCACATAAATTTCCCACGATCGAAGGCTGAAACTACTACTACTACTACTAATAATAATAATAATATAATACTAATAACTGATAACTGATAATAATGTGCAAGCAAAAATCATGGCTCAGGCTTCTTGTGCACATAATTATTTAATTCAATTCTCCATTTTGTTATTTTCATAACAGTCCCTGAGTTTGTGAAATTCTGTAGCTTCTAAAACCATTTTTTTTATATTGTTTATGTTAGGCTACATACTTGCATTGCAAATGGACAGTTACTCAGTGGTTTGCTTTTATTGTTGAGCAACTATAAATGTCACATGGTTAATTTGCATATACATGAGGATGGGCGTGGTCTGGCGCACGCAGGTCATCACGTTTCTTTTTACAAATGCGACACAAAGTTTGCTGTTATCAGTCGAGATTCTGCTTTCTTGTCTGACTTTATTCAGTGTTGGACTTCGACATGTCTAATATGAGTGACTTTACCCCGACTGAGATCCAACAAGTTTTCAAAACTTACCTGGAGAATCCCCTCTTGTCCATCTATAATGACAGTGGTAAGAATTCACATTTTCTGAAACTGAAATTATGCTTTTCACCTGTTGTAAATGATACCATATGTTGTACAGTATCTTATGGGCTTGTAGTGTGAATACGATGCAGAAATAGAATAAAAATAATGAAAGTACATCACAAGAGTTCGAGATTAGATTCTAATGAATATGCACATTTCATTATATGAAACACAAAAAGCTGATACCTGAATTAAAATAACTCTCTGATTACAGATCCAAATAAATGTGGATTACAAATCTAAAACAGTTTGTGTGCAGCTAAAGAAATTGATTTACACATTTGAAAAACAAACCCCTGTAAACTGATCGTGGATTAGTGTGTGTTATCTGGTGAAATTTATCCAGTTCAAGGAACCTGCAAATAAAAAGTCTTGTTTTCTTTATTCAATATTCTGTATGGGAACAAGAAGCTGAATTCCTCCAAAATGTCAGACTACATTTTTGAGTATAAATAGCCAACTACTGTTGTATAAAGTATAAGTGCCCTCATCAATCCTCTGCAATTTACAAGTAATATCCTCTGCATCACATTCATGTCTGGAAACCGGTTGATTTAGCTGGGGTAATTTAATTAAAGACATTCAATGTTCTCTCTGAAATAGAGCAGATTCAAGCAGCAGAATGTTATTGTCATTGATGCATGAATCTGACATTCATTGTGTTCGGTGTGAAAGCTTGTGCTCTTTCTAATCTGTCATTACACATTCTCTCATTTCAGTGCGGTTCAAGAGCAACAGAACAAAATGTTCCCTTCTAACCCTGTGTGTATTGCTCTGTTATTCTCTGCACAGATTTAAATTGTTTAAACTCAATATGTCATTTTAACTCATGTTAGTTAGTTGGATCAAATATAGTCTTAAATACTGAGGTGACCTTGAGTACCACCCAAAACACCACAGTAAATTTTGTTAGTAGTACACTCAAAATAGGACATTTTGACATTATTTACATCATATCCTTGTGTTTATCCCCATATTACTGTTTTTTTTCTGAGAAACTATTCGGAGAATATCTTATGAAGTTAATGGGGACTGGGGCTCCAAAAGGACATCATAACATTATGACTTGTGCAAATATGTTCCCGAGGATGTAGGCTAAAGTTGATGTGTGGAATGCAAAGGCCTGTTTTCCCCGTTGAGCCCTTGTTATTTGAAGCATCTAGTTCATATGGAGCAGCTCTGAAACCAAACGCGACGATAAACACCTTTGTGGTGATTATAAATACACGCCATGTCTTGCAGAGCCTGTACTCCGCACGTGCAGACGCCCCGCCCACTTGGCGCGTGCGCGTGCTGACATCACGTGTGGAGGCACGAGCTCACCGTGCGGAAAAATACAACTGCACGAGTACAGATACACACACTATAAGAAATATAAGTAAGTACTTTAATAGGCTAATGTAATTTTTTGATGCATGTTGTTGGGTCATGCTGATGTTGAGGCTATTTTGCCTGTGTCTCGTGTTCAGGGTCATTATAAGGACTTTCTTCGTTTGTTTTCGGAACAAAGAGACGAGCGTTTGCCTTGTTTCTCTTGCTGTCGTGGATCTGCCTGCGAATGAACAGTTGACCAATCAGAGAGCGTGTCTGTTTAAATATTAATTTTCCGTTGGCCGGACAACCAATCAGCGCTTCGAGCAGGGCGTTCTCATGAATATATAATTACTTTGCCCAATACGCTACGATCGAGTGGATCTCTACGGTGTTGTTTTGGCAGTTTCTCAAACAGGAACAGAAGGTTTAACGAATATAAGCGACATTGCCGAAGCTTATCTATTTTCCACGATAATATTGAACAAATCATGCCCGGACAGGGGTCGGTAACGGCTGTCGTTGGTTCTCAGAAATCTTTTGTTTTAAAGAAGATCATGAATATTCCGCCTCCGAATATACTGGCGGATCAAGACGACGGTAAGGACCATAAAACATGTTAATATGTAAACTAAATAGGCTACATATCGTTGTGTTCGTCGTGTGTGTGTTTGTAGTCGTGTACTTGGCTTCACCTCCACAGCTGGCGTGTTCATTGGTTCCTTAAAAGAACACAAAGTTCCCTCAGACAAAAGTGCTGGTTTATTGACGGTATACGATGGAAATACCGCGGTAGCGTTACTTTATAATAATATCACATCCATGTTTTTACAAGTTGCTTCAAATATCATGGTGTACATGTGAATAAAAAACATATCATTGTATATTACGCCCAATTGAATAAACTGAATCTGGTGCATGGTACTTTTTGTTGTTGTTAAGACACAACTGACATGTTAAAAATCATTAAAACTAGGCAATGTATCATTATTATCATTTGCCACAGTATTACCCTGTTGCTACCATAATACTGTGGTTATTTTGTGTAATAATACCATGGTATTTTTTGAGGAAACATAGTGTACTATCGTACAAGAATTTTGGCATAATTACTGTATCAAGTTGCCATGGTATTGTCATCGGATACCATCAAAAGTAGCATGATATTTTACAATCAGAGTTCCCCACGGTCATGGAGTGGGAACAATGCACATGGGTAGGGAACGATTGCCAGATTAATCAATCGTGTTCAAAGAATAATAGTGTCGGGTAAATGAATAAATGTACATGTGAAGAAATGAAAAAAGACACATTATGCTCCCATAAAACTTAAATAAATTGCAACTTTTTGACCAATGAAGGTCTTTGTCAGGTCTTCCTTTTTAAATCAAGATATACACCATTATATTACAATGGTAAATTTACTAAAAATGACTCTAGTGTTAGTGTTTTCACTCAGGATCTGTAGATTTGTCAGTTATATTCCTGTATGCTGGCGTCAAATAATTGGCGTATTTAACATAATTTGCATTATTAACATAATATATCATCGTTTGGTTTTACTTCATTTGTCCTTTATGGACATTATTGATAATATTCTTATCTCACATGATAATAACCCACATCAAATGTGAATCTGTTCTACTCGTAACTCCCATCTCGTTTTAGTGTCAGATCCACAACAGAACTGAGTCGTAGTTTCGTAGTTTTTGTTATTTTTGGACCAAAATGTACTTTCGATGCTTCAAAAAATTCTAACTAACCCACTGATGTCACATGGACTACTTTGATGATGTCTTTATTTCCTTTCTGGCCAAGGACAGTATACCGTACATACATTTACAATGGAGGGACAGAAAGCTCTCGGACTAAATCTAAAATATCTTAAACTGTGTTCTGAAGATGAACGGACGTCTTACGGGCTTGGGACGACATGAGAGGCATTAATGACATCATTTTCATTTTGGGGTGAACTAACCCTTTAACATGAACTAATAATGAACTGCTTTTCTACAGCTTTTATTAATCTTTGTTAATGTTAATTTCAGCATTTACTAATACTTTATAAAAATCAAACTTGTTGTTAACATTAGCTAATGCATGATTGTGAACTTGCATATAAAAACAACAACATGAACAGCTGTATTTTTATTAACTAACGTCAACAAAGATACACAAATACAATAAAACATGGTTATGGTTTGCTCATGGTTAACTGATATTAGTTATTAGTGTAAATGAATTAACCTTAATGTAAAGGTTAAAGTAATTCTAATCTAGTGTATTTTTCTGTTTTATTTTGATTAATGGTGGAAAAGCAACAGTGTAATCTCATTGAAATGTCTAAATAATACGACTTGTCTTCTGTGCTACTTGCCTAAACTGTGGTTCCTCTCTCGCAGACATCGAGAAGGAGAAGCAGGGTTCGACTGGCGATGCGACGTCAGGGGGCGGTGATGGTTCCGGGGGCGTCTCCGCCTCGCTCACGCCCACCATCTGGGACAAGACCATCCCGTACGACGGCGAGACCTTCCACCTGGAGTACATGGACCTGGACGAGTTCCTGCTGGAGAACGGGATCCCCGTCACGCTGGAGGAGGAGCTGAGCAAGAGCCTGGAGGCCGAGCGGCAAGCGAAGGAGGACGACCCACAGATCACACCAAATACACTTACAAACACACAGATACCTGAGGAGGAGCAGGACGGGGGAGACGAGGAGGAGGAGGACTCGCTCTCTGTGAGCAATGATGAGACGACAACAGGTGAGGCAAAAAAACAAGCACGTTTTATTGGTTTATACCAGGTAAATACCTCTGATTGCACAATACTGTAATACAATAGCTATTTTTTTCTTTAGAAACAGGCTAACAGCTTTAATGTGGCTACCTTTTTACGGAAGAGAGTCTTCTTCCGGTTCTTTAAACTTGAGGATTGAACATGAGTTCATGCTATCGGCTCTAGGGTTGGGTATCGAGAATCGAGTATCGATTGGAACCGGGACTAACTTTTCGTTTTTCCCGGAATCGTTCAAAAGTTAAAATTTCGATTCCTAGTTTCGATATTCACAGTCCGCCGAGCGGAAGAAGAAACCGCTGAACAACACCAACGAAAAAGCGTCTACCGGAAGTGTTGGCTTAACCGCGCGAGTCGAACATGAGTAGCTTGCGTCGGCGGTCCAAACTGTGGCTTCACTTTTCTAAAAATTAACGAAATCTCGGCAAAATGCAAAATTTGTGACAAGTATTTGTGACAGAAATAGTATTTCCTTTAGAAAGACCGTTGGTTAGCAAGGTTAGCTAAACTTTTTTGACCCTGCCTCTTAAAATAATCGGAATCGAGAATCGTTAGGAACCGGAATCGAAACAAGGAATCTGAATCGGAATCAGAATAGTTCAAATTCAAACAATACCCAACCCTAATCGGCTCACGGTTTTAGTTCTTGTGTTTCTCTTTTCTTCAGTGATTCTGCTTGTTAACAGCAGGTGTTCATCACTAATGGTCAATCATTAATCTCATTATCTTTTAAACTGCTTCAATGTTAAACTGCTTAAATGTCCCCCTGGAGTCAATAATTTATTCCTTAAAACTCATCTTTGACCACCAAAATGACATTTTTAAATGGTTCATACCTTAATATAGCTTGAATGTAAGTGGTGTTTTCTCAGACTCGCTCTGTTTGTCCCCGGCAGACTCCAGAGACGAGCCGGAGCGCGTGACGCCGCCCCCGATGGACCCCGAGGAGATCGAGGTGAACATCTCCTTCCAGCCGGACCCCACAGACCTGGTCCTGTCCAGCGTTCCCGGAGGAGAGCTCTTCAACCCGCGCAAACACCGCTTCTCCGAGGACGAGCTCAAGCCACAGCCCATGATCAAGAAGGCCAAGAAAGTGTTCGTTGCCGAAGATGCCAAGGTGAGGCTGAAAACTGTCTGAGAACGTGAAACTCAGTCATTCAGAACGTGTTTATGAACACCTGGATCTGTCGCTAGTCATCAAGGACATATGATGAGTACAAATCTGATGCTTACAAGCTAACATGCTGGTATTTAGCAATCATGCTAGCTTGTATTTTGGTTTTCTTAACTCGTAATTTAAATACAAAAATTCATACTGACTGATCAGTGGATTAATTTGAGATGCCGGTCGATAACTTCTGATTTTACTAAAATCTTTTTTAAATATGTCTATACACTTTTATATATTAATTTTAAATGAAATTCTAGTTACTTTTTATTGTAGCACTTTAAGTTAAGATAAACTATACGAAACAACAGTAAAACAATATATTTTTTTTGTAAACGACAATATCGGTCTAATAACTCTGTTTTACAACGAACATAAATTACGTTGTTTCTATACTCACAGTAAACAACTTTAACTTTGAATATGGTTTTATTATTATATTGTTTGCAATATTTAATTTCTCGTTAAGTTCACAGCATTCGTCGTTTTGACCGATTTTCAAATACTTACAATCAAACTTTGTCAAACTTTTCTCGTAGCGGCTTGATTTGGATCATTTTTTTTTTTTTTTTAAGTCTGTGTTAAAACAAAGTTGGCGCACACTGTTTTGGACTGTACTTCACATTTAAAATGTGTTCTTATAATACATGAGACGTTTTGTTAGTAAATGTAGTGACACGTGACGTTAAGCCTAAATCTGTTTCCCGCAGGATGACAAATACTGGTGTCGGAGGAAGAAGAACAACGTGGCGGCGAAGCGCTCGCGGGACGCCCGACGCCTGAAGGAGAACCAGATCGCGGTGCGCGCCTCGTTCCTGGAGCGGGAGAACGCAGCGATGCGCCGCGAGGTGGCCGAGCTGCGGAAAGACTGCGGCCGCTGCCAGAAGATCATGTCCCTGTACGAGGCCAAGTACGGTGCGCTGTGAGGGACACACTTCACCCGGACACTCATCACTCACTCCGTGGCCGACGCCAGCGTTCAATAGTGTTTCAAACAAGATCTAACAGAGAAAGGGCACCATATAAGATACCACAGCATGACCTTTGACCCCTCATACCTCATCCACGACCCCCAGTGTGGCCCGAGTTTAGAGCTAATTCAGTTTGGTGACGCCAACGTGGGCTGAACGGGGGGGAAAAGGGGCGTTCCAGTCCATAAGGCGTAAAAAAACGAGAGTCTGAGAGCGTTTGGTCCGAGTAGCCGTGACCTCGCGGCTCGTTTCGGCTAGTTTTGAGTGCGCGCTCTCCCCTTGTTTGCACTCGACACATTGTTTATGTTTGTGTACAGGAGGTTCGTTGAGGAAAACACGATATAAACCTTATTTATTCCAGAGTCGAGTGCAGATCGACGACACCGAGAGACGGGAGTCTGTAAATAAATCCATGTTTCTTTGCTCTTCCAGGCGGGTCTCATGATGTGAATGGGACGTTTTTGAGCACTCGGGTGGTTGGGTTTTAACTGTGAGTGAGGAAGCAAACTGGATCTGTTTTGTTTTCAGGGTTTAATCCAGGGCAATAATACGGGACTCATCTTTACCTCAGATTAGATGGATCTAACAAGTGGACGTTTTTATTGGTTTTGACTTAAAATGTCGGCGTTACGTTTCAGTCACAAAACACAAGCAGTTTCTGTGCAAGGGGTCTTTTTATTCTAATCAATAATGCATTCAATATTGCATTTTTAATGCATTGATAATAATAAAAATGCATTTTTAGATAAATCGTGGTATAAATGTGATTGTTTTTTGACATTAGTCGCACTAGTTTTAAGCTGGTTTTTCAAAGGGACGTTTTTTTAAATGGCAAAAAGTCATAATGTGCTTCCAGTGTTTTATGGATTTTGATAGATTATTAGTTATGTTCGTGGTTTGTTTTCAGTGCTCATGAAAGTCATGACTACAAAGTGCTTTTTTTTTTGAAGGATCTATGAAAACATTTTTATTTTCATATATATGTATGTAAATGCATTTTAAAAGCAAATCAGGATTGTGTTGCTGTAAAACGGGTGACAAGCACTTACAGGCAAAAATATCGCATATTAACGGGTCGTTAGTGCATGCTGATGTCATAGTGATGTCACAGTGGGCGTGTCCTCTTCCGTATAAACTGTCTCATATTTTGGTATTTTTGTTGTGTTTTAAATGAGCGTAGAGTGCTGCTCTTTTTTACTCCTGTTTGATTTAATTTCACTCTTCAAATCAAACAATACAAACCTTTCTCCTGTCAGTCACTGTTTTTTTTTAATGAAGTTTGAATTTCTAGGCCGATTTTATTGATTTAAATTGAATTGTGACGTTAGTTTTCATTTAAATCTGTTACATAAACGTCAGACTCTATAAAGCTCAAAGGTAGCAAACTCGTTTTTGTCTGTAATAAAAACATACTTTTAAAAATATGTTTTTTTTTTAAAACAGTGATGTGTTGTTTTTATAAAAAGACACTTTTCTCGTGTTATGCAGTATGTTATGAGTATGACTGTATCTTGTGTCATGCATATTAATAAAGGAAGATATAAATGACTTAACCTTGCTGAGGTCATGATGGATGTGCGCTGTGATTGGCTGTTGCTGGTGACGTCACGTGTGCTAGCATCTGCAGTGGTGGCGACTGTGATGAATGAATGACCTTGCGCGTGCACGCGACCATCTGTGCAGTAATGTTTACATTTAACGCAATTTTCGATTCAAGCGGTGCTTCTCCGTTTTATTCAATGTAATTAAACACGGGACTGACACGTTGAATCGCGCATGACGTGGTCTGAAAACGGGGAGCTCAAGTTTAAAGAAGTTCGGCTTTTAAAAAACGCGTTTTTCGTTCCATTTACCCGCGTTTGCGTTTATTAAAAGAGCGCGCTCTGTGTGAACCGGTCCTGATTCTAAACAAATATGGTTTGCACCACGTCTGTCCTCTGGTATAAGTGGTGGTGTGTGTTTTCTCCGCCATTCGTTGGATTCATTCATTATTATTCTCAGCGTGATGTAATCAGCCGAACACTCGCGTCGTTACATAACGTCTGCTTCAGACACACACACACACAATGATCTGAATGTGTCTGACCCTGAAGAGAGAATGAAATCACCTCTGTCTTCGAGGCGAGCACATGTATCCATCCTCTTATTTAAACATGAAGATAAAAGTCTCAGGATTTTTTTGTAATTAATCAGTGTTTTAATGGTCAGACATTCTCAAGATTTCTCATCAGGTTATGGTTTAGTTCATGTGCTGCTGAGAGACACTAAATATAACGGTTTGCTTGTTAATAAATGAACACAAATGTATAACGCACGCAATGAAACACCCGCATGTTTAATTTAAACATTTACATGTAGCCTACATTTGATTTATAAATACAAGTTAGTACTAATATTAGTTAATGCACTGTGAACTAACAGGAACAATTATATTTTTACTAGCCTATTTAACATGAACATAGGCTAATAAGTGCTTTTATAAAATAAAATAAAAATATTGTTCATTGTTAATGTCATGATCACTTCCATTTCTCCTGATGATGACATGTCATCGACTCACTAGTTTATTTACTGACATCCTGAATAATAGAAAGTCTATTTGCTTTTCCATAGGATGACAATCAGAATTATCTAGATTTGGAAATCCCATGTTTTTCTATCCAGGATCAGGTAATCCATCTTACATTCGTGCCGTTTTTCTAAGCAAAATAGGATTGGATCCAGATACACGCACTGATTACCAGCTGAATGTGAGACACTTTAGAGCTTTAAATGAAGAGGAAGAAAACAACACCTTCCATTTGCAATGTCCTTTAAAGATTCAGACCTCGAAAAGACAGACATAAGGTGAAAAATATGCCACACACAAACTTCTAGACGTGTTGATCAATCACTAACAATGAAAACACTCAGAATTAAACAGCCAAGAAAAAAAAGTGCAAACGGGGATGACAATTAAACTGGCTATATTTCCAATTAAAATTGAATAAAGAAAATTAAAAAAACAGTTTTGAACTGTATTGAAAAACCACATTGCAACGACCCCTTGTAAACAGTTCTTGTCTTGATTGGGGGTTAGAGGTGGTGACCCTGAGCTTTATCGACAGTTGTTCTAACAGCTGGTCAGGAATACAGCCTGAGAACAGGAGGTCATCATAATAACATCATGTTAAAATGTTTTCGTTCTGTACTTATAATGTCAAACCAAACAATGACTTGCTGAGAAAAGATGCATATTCATCAGAAAGCTAGTCAAATATTAAACTTGGATTATTTTAACAAGTAAAAAATTAACAAACTCTTTCAAAACAAACTCTGTAGCAAGCCAATTCAAATTAATTAATTTTTTAAAAAAAGAGCTTGATTTGTTTTGTAAACCTGAAAACTTTTATTGACATTTTCTGTCACGGAAAATTCTCAAATTGCATTTTTATTATAATTGTTTTCCCAATTAGAATAGACTGGCAAAATTATAAAAGGTTTGTATTGTGTACATTTAAGGGTCAATAATATTGGTTATATAAGAAAAACCTACACTGTCCAAAGGAGGAACCACTAGCTGAACGTATGGGGTTTATAAAGTATATAGGCATGCTATGGAACAATTAATCTACTACATGAAGTTAAAACGCAACAAAAACCAAACCTTTCAAGAGCTTCAACATCCTTCAATAACCAGGAGAAAAAATGACAAACAAAAAACATCTTTGTTTGAATGACTTCTACAGAAAGTACGTTCAGCACTTTGTTAAACATTTTATTAGTCATTTCATCTTGCATATATTTATATTCATATAGTTATTTCTGAAAAAATAACTTCAGCACGTAAGAAACTAAACAAAAGATCTCAAACATAAGAAATATATACATATTTATGTCATCATGGTATATATCTCTTAATTTGCTTTATAAATGCCATAGAGAACTCTTTTGAAAAAACACGAAAAAATATAGAAAAATTGTAAATAAATTACAAACAAATGTAAAAATACAACCAGTCATAGCATTTATAGAGAAATCTAAACCCCACCCACCCCAAATGAAATCAATGGAACGATTGAAATTTTCACGAAGCTGACGTTCACATTTCAACGTCAGCGAGGGACGTCACAACAGGGTCAGGACGTACATACAGTCTCACCCAAAACCCTTCCTTTTTAATACAATCTTTTAACTACATTACCAAGCTATAGTTCAGACATAATTGGCATTAAAGGGCAAGTAAAAGGACCTTTAGCATCTAGCATATAGAGTTTATTGTGAGGCCTTACGAGACTTTCCAAAGGCCCGATGCGTAAAGTGCAACGCGGCAGGATGGGACGGAACTCTGAGGGGGAAGTGATGTCATAAACGGAACCCGTGATAAGGCTCCAACCTTCAAGATTCTAGAACGCAAGCCTCCATCCCAGCACAATAAAACACTCAACAAAACAGCCACTGCAGTCGGAATACGAGGTAACATTCAGAGTCCTGGAACTGAGAAAACAAAGTGCAATTTTCACGGGAGCATCTCTCCCAAACCACGATTTATGACCTCTGGAATCAACAATGCATTGAATTCAACATGCTGGAAAAGTAATCTGAGGGTCTCTGCACCAATGACCTTTAATCTTGTGCCCCACCCCTTCAAAGTCATTTAGTGTTTTATCAAAACCTCCTCTGCTCCTAAACCAGAATCTTCTAACCGAGAACCTACGTGTAAGAGCGAAACCAGACCCGCACAACAATCCTGCAATCATTCTGCTTCGGGCTTGAGAGAATGTGAAAATGCACGACATCAATCCACAATCTGACTCTTGACGGCACTAGAAAAGGGTTCAAACACTTGCTGGTTTCATCAGGATTTGGCTTAATGCATTCAAACTGAAGAGGAGAATCCTAAAGTTAAACCAATATAGAGAATGTGCAAGTCATGAACACAAGACCCACATCGGTTCAGAGAACTAGTCATAAAATTACCATAAATCCTAAATTATGACCACTGAGGTGCGACCGCACGGGTAACATGGCTGATATCTCCAGAGAATCATTTCTGAACATGAACACCATGCCAGAAATCCCTTTTTAGCATCTAGAATCCAATCAATCCCCCCCCCCAATCAATTTTAAAAGTCAAAATCAAAGCATAAATCATCAGATTATGTAGACAAACAATTGGGACACCATAATCAAGTGACTCATTACTGGAAAAACAACAAAAGCAATAACACCTGTGTAACAGGAGGCTGGTTACTCCAACTAATAATAATAATTAAAAAAAATATATATCAAACAAGAAACAAATGATTGGTAAAGTAACAAATCACAAGCAATACTCAGTCAGTAGTCATAACACTCTTGATTTGTCATGGTGGTAAGGAACAATGATCCATGAAGGAGGGGGAAAAGGAAAGTCTTTCAGCATTGGGATCTCTTCAGCTCTGAGACTTTAGTTAGCCAGCACCACGGGTTGAAAGGCCTGGCCGGAGTACTGCAGGTTGTATCCGAGTCCTTCCACAAATGGAGGCTTATCCATGAAGGACATCCCACTGTTGGCCCCAATGATTCCCACAGCCTGGCCTGGTGGGGGGCTGGAGAACGGGTCGAAGGAAGCGTGTGGGTGCGGACCCTGGAACGGGGTGATTGGGGCAACTTCTGCATCGAAGTAGAGGGGCCTCTGGGAAATCGGAAACACAAACTCTTTGGCATTAGGAGACAGTTGGCTTGGGATTGGTCCAGCCAAAGAGTGCATGGATAGGGAAAGGGGTTTGTGGTTGGCCAGCCCTGGTGGCGAGATGGAGTTGGGAGAGCGGGTGATCATCCTCTGCTGGGGAGCTACGACGACAACACCAGGACTAGAGGAAACTCCAGGGTTCCCGCACTTCTTCATTTTCGTGGAGCCAAATTTGGTGGCGGCGAAGCTGGCTGTAGTGAAGGTGATTGGCTGAGGTGTTGGCCTGGAGCTGGACGGGGGGTAGATGAGGCTGGCGCTTGGCGGAGACGGGGTGGATGTGTTGGAGGAATGAGTGCTAGGATTGGTGGGAGTGCTGGGAGTGGCGTAACTGAACAACCCTGGGCAAGATGAGGTAGAAATTGGAGTCGGCGAACTGGAGAGCGACGGTAGCATGACCGGCGACACCTGGCCTCCGATGGGAACGAACACCTGAGCCTCTGGGTTAAAGCCCAGATTCTTGACTTCCTCGTACTCCAGGTCTCCATTGAGCATGATGTCAGATCTTTCGGCCTCGCATCCTAAACCTGCCGGATCCTCCATGTAGAGGACTTTAATTGCACTCTTTTCCCCTATCTGGTAGGCCACTTCATAAGGGTCGATCCAAATACTGAGCTCGGGGGGAACGTTAGCTCGGACCTCGTCGGTGTCCAGACCACTTCTTCTGGCTGCCAGCTCCACAACAGGGTCCCTGGGAGCCCCCAGATGGAGGCACCGGAAGGCAGAGCCACGTAAAGGAGCCTCTGGGTACCAGTGACCTTCGAAACGGGACACCAGGATACGCTCCAACTCCTCACCAAACAGATCAGCCCTGCGGCGCGGGAGCTTGTTGTACAAATATGACACGATGAAGTTCAATGCAACCTTCACCTCCAGATGCATGATGAATTTGATTATTTCTTGGGTGACACAGGGACCTACGGCAGTCTTAACATCTCTTGCAAATGTTAAGATGAAAGTCTTTAATCTGAGCCTTAAATGTCAATTTAAAAGCAAGGACCTCTGATTTTTGTATTGTTGCTTAGAAATTGCTTAAAAGTAATTCTCAGAGACTAGTTGATTTTTAAAACTCCAGAATTGGCGCTAAAGTCTAAAGACTGAGCAGCAGCTCTCCGAGATCCAGTTTCTTCAAAGCCTCTGGAAAGACAAAGACAAACTGGTTAAACAACTATAAATATACAATTCACTGACTGTCAGTGTGCATGTGTGTTTGTTTCAGCAGATGCTGAGGCCAAGGTACCAATCCGTGATTATCCTTATGAAATCCCTCATCTGTCCCATTGGCTAAAGCACTTAGGATTACATGTGCTAAGAGAGGAAAATTTCAACACCAAATGCACTTGGTACACTTACACTAGCTCAAGTGTAGCTATTCCATTTTAACAGTAAAAGGAAATGTAAAGTGCATATAGTGAAAAAGAGCAAGACAATTCTAAACATGCCAGAGTTCACTTTCTTCAGGAAGAAAATAACCCAAGGTTTATGGCGTATTATTTACCTGCACATGAAATTGAGATGGATACAAGCATGCAAACGTTTTAAAATGAGACAAACCATTCATCTAATGAAGGTCAACACATACTTTTTGTAGTGGATTACAGTTTGAATAACTAAAGATCAAATGCATTCACTTGAATACTCGCACATCTGAGGGGAAACCTTAGAAAGTGTTGATAAAATGGTGCTGCTGAAGGACCGTTAAAAAACTACACCTCCCAGCATGCACCACGCCACAGCGTTTAACGTCATCACCACGCGTGTGAATGTTGATGTGACGCCTCCGCATTTTCAAAACACAGATAAGCTCCGTAAAAAACAGCACATTAAATGCACTGCAATCGTTAGATTTATAATGGAGTCGGATCCGCGATGAGTTTCGGCATATACGAGGACGGTCACTGCGGGTAAATGTAATGACATATTTGAGATTATTCATAAAAGGGACGAGTTTCACTGCCGCTCATACGAAGACAGGCCAATAAATCATAAATACCATCACTATTATTTAATCGCATACAGACCATCGAATACAATTAAAACGCGTTAGACAAATGGAGACAGGATACAAATGATTTGACAATTTCCTTGTGTAATTATCTTATTCACAGCGCATTAATAATGATAGTTACCATTACCAATAAGCTATAAGGTTGTCAAATCAAATATCATCTTTACTCGATATATTCTCGGCGGTCGTTTTAATTAACGCGTTTATAGCCACAATTGATATGATAAACTAAACGATCGCGTAGCTATTAAAATAAAAATCATGTCGGGCATTCAATGTCACTCAATGTCAACGTTTGATCACATGCCATAACATAAACAACTGTATTTGTGCGTCTGACTTAACAGATTTATTCTTTAATTATTCACAAGCCTGGTTGATTGTTTACACTCCCGCCATCAGCAGATTCACATTATCTGCTGGATGTGTTTTAAACTCACAACTACCAGAGGTCCCATTAATCTTTACTCAGTTTAACTTCTTGTTATTATTATTTGTAGTGATCCAAACGCTGAACTATCCAACACAACACATTCAAACACAGTGTAACATATGGCAGCAGAAACATTAAAGCAGCACACACTGTTCTGATGGGATGCCGTGTGTGTGTGTTGGGGGTTCCCTTTTAAAAAAAGTGTTTTTCAACCCATACAACATGAAAACTGAATTATCCAACTGCAAGAGAAACCACAGAGGTTTAATCCTGGGCACCCTGTGTTTTCCATACACACACACAAAATAAAAAAACTATAACAGAACAACATGTTCCCTAAAGTTCGTTCTGTCAGTCAGACATGAAGTGGGCTTAGGTACAGCAGCTCTAAACACTCACAGCATAGACAAATAATCAGCTTTTGCAAACATTTGGCCTGTTTCAGTCCTCTCAGCACACCATTAAAGCCAAGGACATCTGTGCAAAACACATTTATCATCAGTTTAAATGCCAACACAATGCAGCTGCACGCAAATCCCTCAAATATAGGCCTATAAATTAGTATCATATTATTGAATCTTTAGATTTGTTTCTCAAGTCTAAAATGGACGACAACTCATCAGTCATTCAAAAGAAAAACAAAGATCCGATTTGAATGTGTCCATGCAACACGAGTCACAACCCAACACGAACACTTTCTGCTTTTATTCTTGATAATAATTAATCCAGTACTTACTGATTCAAAGCTTGTGTTTCTATCCTGCGTTTATGATTTCTATTCATTACATGGGCATCAATGATCATGCGTTGAAGAAATCCTTCACAGAGAACCGCTGCGTTATGTTCCGTTTGACTGAAACGCACTTATGTGGAGATTTTATTTAATTTTATGTTTATTCATGGCGTGACGTCTCCCCACTCCCGCACGCGCCCGTGTAAACTTCACTGTTTTGTAGCCTCGTGCATTTATATCGCAGCTCACGCGCTCGCCCCGCCCACCGCGATGACGTGTTTTCAGCTGGAACTACTTACTGATTAGATCTGCGCGCATTAATAAAAACAATAATAATATCCTGCAACATGTAACAATAACTTTTAATGACACTGATTTAGAACGCTATGAATCTGACTCTACTAAAAGTATAAAGTTATGCTTTGTTAAATACAATGTATCTACTTGCAAATTTTGTAACCGCAAAGGTACGTTCACCAACATCAATGTTTCATGTATTTCCGAAAGATTAAAAGGTATTTCAAAACAATTTCATCCTCACAATAGAAACCAAGAGCGTTTTCAATTAGCAATGCCTTTAATTTCTATACTCGAGCCTGATTGATGTAGGCCTATAGGCTATTAATTTCTTCCCCTTCTGTTATTTTTTTCATATCTTTAATATTTTTCTTTTTCTTTCGTTAGCAAATTATTGAATTTTTCTCTTGTATTCTGATGACAATTTGTTTACTGTCGTAATACATAGGCTTATGTGCACAACCCACACAGATTGAGAAGTAGTCATAAGTTTTATAAAATGCCCAAAAGTCATTTATATATATATATATATATATTATATTTATACATATATTACATTTATATATATAATATAGATTATACTCGTTTTACAGAGGCAATGCTTACTTTTAATATAACTATTCTATTATCCTATAAATTATTTATTTACCTATTTTATTATCTATATTTTTTAAAGATATGTCGATTTGAAACTTTTATTTGCCTCAGAGGTATTCCTATTTCAACAAACGCCGATTTATGGTTATTTCACTTCGTCTCTAATTAATTTGGCGAAGTAATGTTTCCATCTGTGAGGCTGTGCTGCGGAAGGCTAAAAATAAAAGATGTCATAGCAACAATGTAGCTATTGGGTGGGAAACGCGAGGAGCGTCCGGCTATTGGTCGAGAGCAGCGTCCACTCAGCAGGGGGCGTGGTGACGTTTGCTTCAGCGTGTGCGACGTGCGTTATGGGAAATGGAGTTTTCAAATAACATAACAAAGCAATATAGGCTACATGCTATTGCAAAGTGATTATAGAAACTTTAAAAGCGCCTATGAAAATGAAATGTAACACCATCCTAAAAACTCAAACACAAATAATTAAGTGCATAAGAAAGTTATTGGTATATCACTTTACAATAAGGTTCATTAGGCCTAGTTAACATTAGTTAATGTACTTACTAACATGATAATGAGCAATACATTTGTTACAGTATTTATTCATCTTTTTTGAAAGTTAGTTAATAATAAACAACTGTTCATTGTTTCTTTATGTTAGTTCACAGTGTATGAATTAATGTCAACAAATACAACCTTTGATTTTAATAACGTATAGTAAATTTTGATGTTAATATTAGAAATAAGATTATGTTAAAGAAGTGCAGTTTTTTATTAGTTCATGTTAAGGCCAACGAACCTTCTTGTAAAGTGTTACCATATGATCTTGTCTTGTTTGTTTCCATAAATATCTAGGAGATGTCTCATACTAGAAGACATTGTAAAGAATTATTTCAGCCATAATGTTCACGTGCTTACCAAAATATCCTCTCTGTTATAAAACTGACATTTGAATTGCTGGCGCTGCACAAGCGTCTAAACATTTACACAACTCTGATGTGTTTCTGACAGAATAAACTGTGTTAATAAACATGTTTTATTACAGCAGTGCTAATGCAAAATATAGTGCGTGGTTGATGAATCTCAGGTCTCTAGAAGCAGATGGTTTCAGTTAGAGCTGCACAAACACTGGAATCATCATTTAAAAGACTGCAGATGTAAACATATGAAGAAGAGTCAAAGGAGCGCATTTAAAGGGACAGTGCATTAATAAATTAAAGTTTGATTCACTGTTCCAATCATTAATTTCTTTGATCTGCTGAACACAGAAGAAGATATTTTGAAGAAAGTTGTGGGGGACCATTGACTTCCATAGTTATTTTTATATCCATTAATGGGGACCAGGATTGGTTACCGACATTCTTCAAAATATCTGCTTTTGGGTGAGTAAATGGTGAACTATCTCTTTAAATGCTTTTTAAAATCAGCCCCAATGCCTTAAAAATCAACTATAAGATATGTATGGCATATGTTCATAAATATCTGACAAATCTTAGAGATAAAATCACCAGCTATAAAACATAAATAAAAACACTTACAGGCATAAAGACAATTAGCCTAATAAAGTTACAATTCTGAAATGAACAACAGTGTATGATATTTTATTATAGCCTAACTATTACAGCATAGGAGAGACTTTATATAGCCTATGCATCAACATCTTTTTAGAAAATAAAAATAGTTTTTTAAAATTATTATTATTATAACACAAAAATATACAGAATGACAATATATTACATGCTAGGGAGCAAGAAAATAATGTACGGTTTTAAAAGATTCAGTTTTCACATCTTTCTTATTAGAAAAATCAGAAATCATATAGAGTTTTACACCTTCAAGAAAAAGGTTGAAGAAAGGCTTATTCAGCAACTAAATTCAAACTTATGTATAAAATATTTAGCCAAGAACAAAATTAGTTTGAATAAATAAAAAACATCTCTCATGATGTGTATAATAACAAAGAATACCATTTTATAACAAAAAGGAACTCTCTTTATTTATTTATTTTTTTACACAGAATGTTGTCGCGTGACGTCAGTGCCGTAAAGCGCCAGCCGCTGTCGTGATTCGGCACATGTGTAGCTGTTGTCATGCTGTGCTCTCAAATCATGAGAGTTTATAGATTATTAATAGAGTAAATGTATAAACTGGGGCAGCTGGATAATATCGCTCTGCACGCACGGGCTGCCGGAGCTTCAGGGGGACTGAGAGGTAACGTTAATATGACAGAGAAACCACAGCAGAACAACATCACGTAACTTACAGACAGACTCATGAGCCAGTAGCTGACGGGTGTTGTTCATGTGTCAGTTTGAGATCCTCAGCGGGTCTGGTTGTGGTTGTGGGTGAGGATGTTCGTGCTGGTGGAGATGGTGGACACGGTCCGGATTCCCCCGTGGAGTTTCCATCGGCAGCTGAACGACGCGATCGCCGAAGAGCTCAACAAGAAACTCGCCAACAAGGTGAAGACAGACACTTATCACTGAGCCAGGCTTCACACAAATGCTTCCAGTGTTCGGGAGAGTTACTTTTAAAAGCTAATGGATTACAATATTGCATTCACTGTATATTGCGTTCATTATCAATCATTGAAAAAGTAACTGATTCCGGTAAGTAATGAAAGTAATGCGTTACGTTACTTTCGTGTTACTTTGTGTGTGTTTGTTTGTGTTTTGTTTTGCAAATGAAGGTGTTAAGCAGGAAAGACATTGGTTAATAGAGTGAGATGAAAAAGATTGAATACATGAAGTACATTATTTTACACAATTCTTGCAGATTTCCGTAATTCTGCATTTATAATTTGGTAATTTTGACTTTGCGTTTGACTTATTTAGTGTTTTAATTTTCGTAATATATATCTGTGCACAACTCGACTGGTAAGTGGTCATAGCTCGCAGCCTTTCAGACTTTTTTCCACTCATAAAGTTAAATTGGTGTTATCTTTTGAATTCTTGGCATGAAAAAAAACCCCTGAGGTTTCTATCAATCTTTCATGCTTTTTCACATTCATCGCTATTTCAAAATAAAGGCCTGAACATCCCTTATGAGTATGAAAAATTCTTGTTGCAAATTACTTTACTTAAAAAAAACAGTTACCAAATATGAAAACTTGAGATTGTAAGCTTTACAATCTTACTGAGTGTTTACTAAGATATTTTTGTTTTAAATACATAAATGGCAAAAAAATAGTTTTGAAAACAAAATTTCAAGTACTCGGAGGACTCTCAAGCCTTATCCCGTGTGACCTCCTCCATGTGTCTGCAGGTGGTGTATAATGTGGGCTTGTGCATCTGTCTGTATGACATCACTAAACTGGAGGATTCCTACATCTTTCCTGGAGACGGAGCATCTCATACCAAAGGTACATGGCAACAGTTTCATAGCAACAGCTTCATAACTCGCTGTTACTCGCTGCATTTGGGCGGTCGAGCAAATTCCCTACCTCTCTTCTCTCCTGCAGTTCACTTTCGATACGTGGTTTTCCACCCGTTCCTGGACGCGATCCTGGTGGGAAAGATTAAAGGCTGTAGTTCCGAGGGCGTTCACGGTTAGAGAGGCCTCACTCAACACCCATGATGCTTTGCTCTTGCGCTGTTTTGCAATGGCAGGGTTGTTATAGTTAACGAAAACCATTAAAAAAATTATTATATATTTTTAAAAAAAATCAATAAACTCTACCAAAATAACAAAAATTATATATTTAAATCTAAAAATAAAAATATTTTACTGCAAAAATTGACAAAAAAAAAAAAAATTGGGGAGAAAACATTTAACATTTTCTAAACCTTTCGCTAAAATTAATATTTATGGAAAATATAAAAATAAAAACTAATTTAAAATGATAGTGATACTAAAACAGCTCTGTCATTTACATGCTCATGGTTACAGTTGATCTTCATGGTCAAGCCTTTATTCCAGTAGATTTGGAATATTAGAACTTTGTGTAATGTAATAATGGATTCATTGGAATTCCATACTTTGAAATGGAAAAATTCAAAAATCATTGGAAGATTATAATAAATAATCCGTTTATGTGTGTTGATTCCACAGTGAGCCTCGGATTCTTTGATGACATCCTAATCCCGCCGGAGTCACTGCAGCAACCGGCTAAATTGTATCCTGAAATACCACTTCTAAAACACATTTAATATTTTGGTAATTAACATATTTTATGTAAAAAAAAAAAAAAAAAAAAAAATATATATATATATATATATATCAACACAGTATTAGTACGGTGTTCCTAATAATCCTTTAGGTGAGTGTGTGTGCAAATATATATATATATATATATATATAAACACATTTTTCTTAAATGTTTACATGAGCACACACACACAAACGTTACATAAACACAAACTATTATTTTGGATGCGATTATTTTTTTTTCTAGTGTATTTGTAGTAAATGAGCTGAAGTGAGTTTGTATGGTTCCTTCACGGTTGGCGCAGTGATGATGCGGAGCAGGTGTGGATGTGGGAGTACGAGACGGACGAGGGCACTCACGACCTCTACATGGACCAGGGCGAAGAGATCCGCTTCAGGGTCGTGGACGAGCTGTTCCTCGACACGTCTCCCACCGGCCCCAGCACAGAGAAGGAAGCGCCGAGCGCCGCCGGCTCCACAGCGCCACCCGCAGCAGTGGAGGACACCACGCCGCAGAAAGAGGCTCCATACACACTCATTGTGAGGAGATTAGGAACTAAATATACGTAGAATTACGTTTATCTAACTTTTTAATGTTACCGGTACCTGTTCCTGAATTTTCTTAGAACATTCAAAAGTAACATTCCAAGAATGTGAGCAAAATGATAAAACTGAACATTCCATGAACGTTTTTTTCTTCTCTAATTCTCACACAATCAAGAAAAACTGTTTTCATAACTTAATCGGAACGTTAGCTCGTTAGCCTGGATGCGTTGATAAATTGCTGATAACAAGGCGACTAACGTCTGTTCTTCTCTTCGGCAGGGATCCGTCAGTGAACCGGGGCTGGGTCTTTTGTCCTGGTGGAACAGTTAACAGTCTCTTCTGTGATTATAAACTGAGAAACATCAGTTTAGCTTTTCACAACACTGATTTACTCCTTCATGAACTTAAGATCTGCGGACCAATAAGTGAGCAGATGCTGCCGACCAATCGGAGACACTTAACGAAGAGTTGTTTGTAATGATTGAAAGGGATTATTGTGTTGTAATCCTGCTGTTGTGTTGATTGAGATAATTTGAGTTTGCTTTTTTTGTTGAGACCTACAGAGTTTACTTTATAGATAAATACAGTTTTATTTGAAAAAAAATGTTTAGCTTCAAATAATGTCTTTTTGATGCAATTGAATATTTTTGTGAGGTCATGTATATGGTGTTTGGATTTTTGTTTTGTTTTGAAAATTTGAATATAAAAATATTTGGAAAAGTTTACAGTGTTGTTGTTTTTAAATATATATATAGCATATTCATATTTTAGGTAACACTTTGTTTTACAGTGTCCTTACATGTACTTACCATAGTAGGCTAATACCTGTAAATTTTGCATAATTACATGCAGCTAACCCTCAACCAAAGCTTACCCTAACCCTATAGTTAGTACATGACACCTTCAAATAAAGTGTAACCATATTTTATTCTATTTTAAATGCATTGTTTTGATTGATTCTGACAGCCGACTTCTGTTTACATAATCTCTCGTGACATTATGATAGTTCTCTGACGGGAGTGACTCATTTTCCGGGATGCGCTGACGCTCGCTTCCTCAGTAAACGCGTCTCTTCTCCCGGTAAACGCGTGTTAACGGGGATCTCCTCCATCACACGACCCTCACTGCGGAGTCACGCCGTGTCTTTCACCTCATCTTATATAACCGCGCTCGACAGGACGGGACAGAAGCATCTGCGAACTCCAACTGTAAGTTTCTGCATTTGCTCCAGTTATTCCAGCGCGTTTCCAATTTGTTTCCGTAATGCTTTGGCTATTAAAATAACTATAGAATCTAAAATCAAATATTATTAGTGCTTATGTGTATATTTTTAGGGGTCCTTTCTTCTACCTTTTGTTCTGAGCACCGGCCGTAGCCTACGTGCTTTAAAACTTAACCTGCTCCCTATATAGACAGCATGCGTATAGCCTAAATTGTGTTATTAATAATGGCACATGCTTTCAAAATGCTGTCTAGCAACTCAGCCGACAGGTTTCGAGGGACAATCCCTGCCCTCCATCAAGAACATTCTGGAATCGGGTGACGGTGACTTGAACGGAATCTGGGAAAATAATAGCATAATTCAAACGGAATGTGTGTATAATGTTCTGTTCTGGTCATTTTTGCCGCGGTATTTTGGGTCGGACTTCCATCGCGTCATAACGATCTGTCTCTTATTATTTTAAGTGATGTAATTTCACATTTGATCCAGTTTTAGCCAAGAGTAGGACAGTAATTGTGGATCTTATGATGTTTCTTTCGCTGTGACCTGGAATTTCATAGTACGTGATGATGACACGTCGCGTGTTGCATAATAAAAGCAGAACCAGCGACTCTGACGTCACGAGGACAGATTTCTCGTCACTGCGCAGGAACCTTACAGACACGTTTAACCTTGACATTATAAATGAACTCCTGACAACTGATGTACAGTTTGGTTTGATCTCTTTCCTACACAGAACTGCATACTTCTGGCTCTGGAGACTGGAGATTTCTGGCTTAATACAGTAGAAAAAAAAAAACATTTTAAAAAGAAACGGCCTTTATAGATAAATAGTAATGTAATCGAAATCTACAGACGCAAATAGATAAAGTGCTTTAAACGATGCAGTTAAAATTGTATTTTGGATCGTTTATCACTTTATGAAAAGCCCAAAATCTCTAAATTGACCGACGCATGGAAAAAAACACTGTTCTTGCCTGCAGTGTCTCGCCTTAATCTGTACAAACGTTAATTGTGAAATTAGCCTTTTAATGTAGAAGTGATTAAAAGTGGTGTACAGGTAACTATGATCTTGGTTTAATCTTTGTGTTCTTGAAGGCCTATTTGTCCAAATATGACCAAGAAATAATAAATAAATGAATAAAATAATTAGATAATGAATAAAAGCGGACCCAACACTGACCCCTGTGAAACACCGTGATTAAGTGAGACTTACAAACTGAAACTGACTCCCTTGATCTGTGCAAACTGTTTTCTGTCACTTAAACAGGATGACAACCAAAGAAGTTTGAAACATGAAAAGTTTTAGTAGTATGAAATAGTATTTGAATGTAGAAGTGATACAAATACACAAGTGATGTATAGTTCACTCGGATCTTGGAGCGGTTCCTTGGTTTCTTTAAGGCCTAAATAAACACAATGCAGGGTTTTGTGCGCGAGGAACTGGGCACACACCCTAGCACCCTGGGCACAAACCGTCTTGCATGTAAACTCACACACACACACACACACACACACACACAGAGCCTTTGTGCAGGGCAGAGTAAAGCTGTGTTCCTGCATGTCCCTACAAACAGAACAATCTGTGCCCCTGCAAATAAAAAAAAATTGAGCAAAGTACGCATCCAAAGTGCTTTATGTGCGTCACTGAGAGTAGTCTTGCACTGGATGCCTGAGTTTAGTGTTTCTCTCAGACAGCAGGTCGTGTTCTGCAAGCTTCTGGAGAGCATTCAGAGAGACTGGATCATGGCGGACCCGGAGCTGTCGTCCCCAACGGAACGGTCCCTGCGCTCTCCGCGCTCAGCGCCGCTGTCGCTGTCGTTCCCGTTCCTGCGTGAGGGGAGCCACATCTGGGACAGAGCCACGCCGCAGCCCGGGGAGTTACCGAGCCCTCTTCCCACCAAACGCACGCGCACCTACTCCGCGTAAGTCAAGCACACACGAGTCACAAGCCTGAACAACACTTTGCATGCTGGACAAACATTGAGGGTATGTTTACATGACAACGATATGCTTAAAACGGGGAAGTTTTTCCTTTCCTACAGACAACACCATTGTCAAAACGATCTCCGTTTACACAGATCCACGAAAATGAATAAAAACGCTGTATTCTGTCGCCAGGCCACTAGATGGTGATGAAACACTATAGACTGAACACGTAATATGCATGTGCATCACGTCATCGTCTTCAGAGATTCACGTTTTCAAAAACTTGCACTTTGAAACCTGTTTTCAGTCGCCCAAAACGCCGTTGTCGTGTAAACAAACGGTTTTAGTTGAGAACTGTTGCACCACTAATTTGACCATTCACACGTGAGACGCAGATCAGTGGAATGAAGAAAACGCAAGCGCCACTTTACTCACTGATCTCATGAAGTAGCGTGTGCATGACACGCCAATTCGTATTTCCATTTTTGGCGTGCTATCAAGACGCATAATCGCTTTTCAGCGTGTTTATGAACGCCGTTGACTTAACGTTATTACAGTGTATATATAAATATATGACTTACCTCAACCCCGTCCCTAAACCTAACCGTCACTGGGGTTAATGGCATTTATGAGTGTTCCTTACCATCCTAGGAAAAAAAGAGATCGCTCCCCAGATGTAGATCTACATTTTGCTTCGTTTCGCACGGACATTTGACGGCGTGTACAGACACGCGGAATCACTCGGACGTTAATGGCGTAGACATACACGCATACACGCGGCTAGCTCAAAATGCGTAGAGATAACACGCCACTTGACTCGAAAGTGGCGTGTATGTTTACGCAAAAGTCATGATGTCACGTTGTAATTTTCAAGCGCGACATTTACTTAATTTTCCGCGCAGATGGACGAGGACAGATGCGTTTTCTATACTCTAGCAGACGCCAGAGGGCAGCACTGAGCCGTGTCATTTACAGGACATTCGCTTGGAAAGACAGAAGAAGGAAAGCAGCGGACCTGCCATTGCGTGCAATGTTTGGAACAAGAACAAGAACTAAATGTAAAAAACATGGATAAGGATATTCTGCTTTGTTAACTGTTCTTGGAACAGTGTGTTGTTTTTATCGCTTTTTCCGCACTTCCAATACGTCACAGCAGCATATTGCCACCTAGTGATTCGAACTTCCCATCACTACTTCATGACCGTTATAAAAAAGTATGTTCAATATAGTATGAACGTAACCCGTATTTACTACTTCCGTAGTCCTACATATACGTATGAATTAGCCACCAATTGGACAAAACATAAACAGCTATGAGTTGTCCTGAGATTGTTTGTGTGTGTGTGCAGGACTGTGCGTGCGAACGCGGGTCCCGTCTTCAAAGGTGTGTGTACAGCCTTCTCGCGCTCGCAGGGTCACGGCTTCATCAGACCGGCTCTCGGCGGAGAGGACATCTTCGTGCACATCTCAGAGTGAGTCCCAGTTCAACACCAGTTCCAGCTCAGACACTGATCCAGTACATAGTGACAATAATAGTAATAATTGTATAAAATATAATAATAATAAAAAATGTTAATAATCATTTTATAAAATACAATAATACAAAGCATAATAAATAATAATAATGATAATAGTATTATTATATAAATATAAAATACAATAATACGTTTGACTAAATATTTATTGTCTGTGGTTTTAGAAAAGGAGTTATTCCTGTTTTTTTTTTTGTTTTTTTAAATCTGTTGAAAAATTAGAAAACTTGATATGCCATTACAATTTTTAATAAAAATTATTAATTTCAATCTGTGAACTGAAACTGTGTCAATCAAACCGTTTTCCCACTGGTGTTTCTCTCGCAGTATCGAAGGCGAGTATGTTCCTATGGAGGGGGACGAGGTCACGTACAAGGTCTGTGCCGTCCCGCCCAAGAACGTGAAGGTCCAGGCCGTGGAGGTGCTCCTCACGCACCTGAAGCCCGGGACCAAACACGAGACCTGGTCGGGCCAGATCATCAGCTCCTAGAGACGAATATTGTGAGAGCAGAGCATCATGGGAGCAAGGCTATTGAAACTAACGGAGACGGGTTGCGGTACGGGAACGCTTAGAAACAGACTCCAAACGCAAGCGCACAAATGCAAATACACAACTCACAGGTTTCTGTCGCTCTCAGTGCCAATTCACAGCACTTTTTCTGTTTAAGGCTCAATAGCGTGGGTTTTTAAAGCGTTTTTGCCAATGCTTGTGTTCTTGCGTAGCGTTTGTTTCTGGTTAAATGAGACGTCTGAGACGGAGAGAGATTGTGAGATGATGCTTGGACATCCTCAAACTGAAATGTGAACCGAGTTCGAATCGAACACATCGATGCAGATGCGCACGTCTACCCTTGTGACTGGTTTTGGCTGTTATATTTCTGTTTATTTCCAGACAGCAACATAGTGTCGGCCCAGATCCGGCCCACATTTGGTACACAGCAAAAACTCCAGTGTTAAATTAACTGTCCTGGGACTTTATTTGAGATCACACTTAAGAGTTTTAAAATATGAGTGTCAAATGAACCCTGAAGCAGTTAAATTAATGAGATAATTAAGCGATTAAGTGATGAGCATTATTGAAGACACCTGATCACCAGAAAGTTGTCACCATTATGATGATCAGTGTTTGATTTAGCTGGGCTCTTGACGCTTACATTTTTAGCTTTAGATTTAGTTTGGGCTGTTGTAACTGAGTCGAGAAGTCAGTGATTTGGGCCGACGACACTATGTTGCTGTCTAAGTGTATGCATTCATTTTTAATGTAGAGTTTAGGGGGGCAAACGCTTCATTCTCATTAAAGTTGCAATGAAAAAATCCTAAAACTAAACAATTTTTACTACGCAAATAATTTTCATTTGATTTCTGGGTGAAATACAAGTCGAACATGATCTTGACGGGTTTGGGGGGCTTTGTAACTTTAAGCTCTGTTATATATGCTGGAACTGAAGCATCATAGACTAATATTGCACTTGAAACCCCAAATATTAGGGATGCACCGATACCACTTTTTAAGGATCGAGTACGAGTACCGATATTTTTTTCCTGGTACTCGCCGATACCGATACCGATGCCTGATTTTCTAAGAACAACACAATGAGACTAATGAACATATAAGCATCTTTATTTTTTTAACAACAAACTTTAACCAATAAATTTAGAGTGGTTTATTGTCAAGAACAATGAATTGGGTAAGCATTTCTGTTATTTTTATTGCTCTTGGGTTATCTTTTGACATTTTCTCTTGCCTTGAAAAGGTTTGCTGCAAAGTTTGTTGCAGAGTGCTAGTGCTACTGCTAGTGGCAAATTCACCGTGCTCACTTTTGTATTTAAATTTCAGATGTTTTATCAAGTTACTTGTATTATACTGGCTTTTGTACCTCCTCTCGATTAGGGGTGTTAATGGTTAAAACCGGTTAGCCGATTAACCGTTTAAAATTGTGGCGTCAATACATTTGCACAAAACGTTTGCGTTTTTTTTCTTCTGAATGTCGATAAAAAAATATTGTGAAATGACAGCGTTTCTATTAAAGATGTTATGCGACTAAAGCATTTTTTTTCTTTCGCAATAAGTCATTCCAAAAATAATGGCAACGGTCTATATCACAACCACCGCACTAAACATTAGCCTATTATTATTTATGTGAGGAGTGTCACGGTCTGTCGTCCTCACCTGTTTTGTCCCGTCATCTGCACCACACTTCCCCGGATCCTTTTGTTCCTCTCCCGGACTCACTTCCCCAATCAGCCACCTGTTCCTCGTCCTGTCATGATCATTTTCACCTGTGTTCACCCCAATCAACCCTGATTCCTCTGTGTATTTAGTTTCCTCTGTTTCATTCTGTCCTTGTCGGTCAATGTTTATGTTACGCAGTGTCTCCTGTCTTCCTGCCTGTCTTTTGATATTAAATTCTATGTTTATCGATATTTGGACTCTGCCTGTCCTTCTGCCTGCACCTGCACCGTGACAGATTGACCGACCCAAAAGAAAACAAAAAGAAAAGAGAAGAAGTAAGATGGACATTCCTGCAGTGGCTCTTCTTTGCCTTGACCAGGAGGACCGTTCCCTGGAATCCCATACACGGGACTTTCTGGAGTTGGCGTGCCTGACTCACTATTCTGACCACTCGCTGAGTGAGTTCTACATCGCCAGCCTCAGCGAGCGGTCCCGGGCACGCCTCCCAGGGAACGGTCCCGGTGATTTCGCCGCCTGTGTGGAGTGGGTGCTGGTGTGCTGTGAGTCTCCATTCACGGTGGAGGAAGTCACCAGCACCCCTCCAAAGCTCGAGCTCTCCTCTCCGCTGGTTCCGCCCAGCCTCGCCGAGCCCGAGATCTCTTCGCTGGTTCCGTCCAGCCCCGTCCAGCCAGCCCCAGAGACCGTCCAGCCAGCCCCAGAGACCGTCCAGCCAGCGCCAGAGACCGTCCAGCCAGCGCCAGAGACCGTCCAGCCTGCGCCAGAGACCGTCCAGCCGGCGCCAGAGACCGTCCAGCCTGCGCCAGAGACCGTCCAGCCAGAGCCAGAGACCGTCCAGCCTGCGCCAGAGACCGTCCAGCCTGCGCCAGAGACCGTCCAGCCAGAGCCCGAGACCGTCCAGCCAGAGCCCGAGACCGTCCAGCCAGAGCCCGAGACCGTCCAGCCAGAGCCCGAGACCGTCCAGCCAGAGCCCGAGACCGTCCAGCCAGAGCCCGAGACCGTCCAGCCAGAGGCCGAGACCGTCCAGCCAGAGGCCGAGACCGTCCAGCCAGAGGCCGAGACCGTCCAGCCAGAGCCCGAGACCGTCCAGCCAGAGCCCGAGACCGTCCAGCCAGAGCCCGAGACCGTCCAGCCAGAGCCCGAGACCGTCCAGCCAGAGCCCGAGACCGTCCAGCCAGAGCCCGAGACCGTCCAGCCAGAGCCCGAGACCGTCCAGCCAGAGCCCGAGACCGTTCAGCCAGAGGCCGAGACCAGGATCCCACCCAGCCTCCCTCTCCCGCCTCCTCTCATCTGTCCTCCCTCTGCTCTCCTGCCCTTCAGCTCCCCTGACCCAGCCTGGTCCTTGCATCCCCGGTCTTCGCTTCACACCTCCTCCATCTGGACACTTCCTCGGCCCCCGGTCCCATTGGCTCCCCCGTGGCTCCTACCTCCCTCAGCTCCTCCATGGCCCCTCAGTCCACCAGCTCGGCCAGGCTCCCTCGACCCTCCGGACTCCCTTCGCTCCCTCGTCGTCCTCCCTTCACCTTTGGACTTCATTCCTCTGGCTCCGCCCCGTCATATCACCCCCCCGGTTCTGTCGGACTCCTCACTCCCTCCAGTCACCCGTCAGCCCTCACGCCCTCTGACCTCACTGTGTCCCTCCGTGCACCTGTCATCACTTCGGTCACCAGAGCCTACGGTATCACCATGTTCCCTCAGTCCCTCATCAGCACCACATGTCGTCAGTCACTCAGCTTCACCCTGGTCTCCCCTCCCATCCGCTCCGCCCCTGTCAGTCGGCCCCCTGGTGTTGTCAGCCCCACTACCATCGGCTCCACCAGGGGTCCTCCCTCCAGCTGCTCCGCCCTGGTCTCGCCCTCATCATGCTCCGCCCCGGTCTCGCCCTCATCATGCTCCGCCCTGGTCTCGCCTTCAGCCTGCTCCGCCCTGGTCTCACCCTCAGCCTGCTCCGCCCTGGTCTCGCCCTCAGCCTGCTCCGCCCTGGCCACGCCCTCCGCCTGCTCCGCCCTGGCCACGCCCTCAGCCTGCTCCGCCCTGGGGACGCCCTCAGCCTGCTCCGCCCTGGCCACGCCCTCAGCCTGCTCCGCCCTGGCCTCGCCCTCATCCTGCTCCGCCCTGGGGGGCTGTCTCCTCCTGACGACGCCCTCCACAGCCTCCAGGGTGCCCACCCCCCCCTCCCCTTGATGTTATGGCGTGAGGCCACGCCTTCCGGGAGGGGGGAGTAATGTCACGGTCTGTCGTCCTCACCTGTTTTGTCCCGTCATCTGCACCACACTTCCCCGGATCCTTTTGTTCCTCTCCCGGACTCACTTCCCCAATCAGCCACCTGTTCCTCGTCCTGTCATGATCATTTTCACCTGTGTTCACCCCAATCAACCCTGATTCCTCTGTGTATTTAGTTTCCTCTGTTTCATTCTGTCCTTGTCGGTCAATGTTTATGTTACGCAGTGTCTCCTGTCTTCCTGCCTGTCTTTTGATATTAAATTCTATGTTTATCGATATTTGGACTCTGCCTGTCCTTCTGCCTGCACCTGCACCGTGACAAGGAGACGTCGTGTGTCATCCAAGCATTAATGGCAGGCAAAGACACAGAGTTTCTTTGTGTTTCTCCCTCATTTCTGCTCCGAGGTCTTGATTTTGGCATTTCTTTGAGGTTTTGTCTAGTAGGCTATTCCTTAATCTTTTATGATTTAAAAAAAAAAAAAGAACTCTGCCTCGTATTATGTCCAAACGGTCAGTGTACTTGTTTTGTGTTCATTCGTCTCCCCTTATTTAATCCATAGGCCTAATTGCAAAACGAAAAATGAATGGTTATTTTGTAAAACGCAAAGTTGAACACCAAAATGTTCATTTGAACTGTAGGACTACGTCAAATGCTGCGCAAAAATATATAGGATAGGCTATACATATCGACGAATTTTCAGATATTTGTTTGATTTTTTTTGCCCATTTAAACATTTAAAATATTTGGCAAATGAATATGAAAAAAAAAAGATTTTACTGGTTTTCTGAGGCCAAATTAGAACCTGGAAATGATATTTTCCCGCAGTAATGAATGAGTAGAGCCGTAACTAGCCTACAGAAAGGAGATTTATGATTTATAAGATATAATAAATGTGTCTGATAATAAAATAATATAAAATAACGAGACATTAATTGTTTGTTAATAAACTATTGTTTTCTAAATCAGTTTCTGCTAAAAACAAATCTCCATCCCCGGATCCACCTTTAGAGAGAAATACATAATTATAGGCTACATAATTACATCAGAAGATATTGGCTTTCGATTCGAATTTGTTCGTTTTAAATTGGACATTTAAAGCTAGCTTTAAATGTCCAATTTAAAACGAACAAATTCGAATGCGGCTGTTTCAGTTCTCGCGCTTCAGTTCACGGAGATCATGATTCATGAAGCGCGCCTGCTGTTAAAGCACAACGTTTTCTTGTTATTGTGAGTTTACGCAAATAAATGTATTTGTCAATAATGTATTATTATTTTCTGTATGACCAGAAATCAAAGAGTATTTTAAGTTGTTTCCACTGAAAGAACTGCAATGAAACTGCAAGTGTTCACATGGGCGTCTCGCAGCCATCAGTGCACGCTCCACACTAAGCACAAACACTGGATATGCGTCAAAATATTGTGTTTATTAGGCGTCTAATAAAGGCGTCTACATATGCAGCCTAATAAAATGTTACAATAATGATGATGATCATAAATATTTATTTGCGGACACTGAGTTTTTGCGAAATGGACTTGTTTCTGTTGGCTATTTTCAATTGGCAATTTCAGTTTGAATGGTGATGGAAATGTGCCTACTTTAACTGCGTACTTATCACTGCGTTTTATTTCTATAAATTAATTCGTTTCAAATGGGGTCCAACCAGTTATTAAAGGTTTTAAAAATTAACTCTGTATCTCGACGTTGCAGCGCTCACACTATGGTTAACCGAGTATTAACGGTTAATGAAAAACTTGAAAACGTGCAGCCTACGTGCAGCCTACTCTGGATATTAATGCAGAAATAATCGTGCAGATTGCCATGCGTGGGTCGTCATCATTGATTTTGAAAATATTTCCACACTGCTGAGGCTGACATTGCATCTGGTGTCTCTGTGTGCACTGGAAAGTTCTGTCAGTTACGTCGCGTGAGGTATCGGTCTTTGGTATCGGGGTATTTTTACGAGTACGAGTACAAGTACATGAGCTTGGTATCGGGCCCGATACCCGATACTGGTATCGGTATCGGTGCATCCCTACCAAATATAAACTGCCAAACTGACTTAATCTTCCAGACTTCCCGGGAGTCTTTCAGGGTAAAACAAGCAGCATTTTGTAGACAAGCTGAGGAATAACAGTCGGCTAGCAAAAGCATTTTAACACTCGTGTTATTTTTGCTATATGTGTGTGTGTGTGTGTGACATTCATGATGATGTAATGACGACGGTGATGCACTGTTGCGTTAGATGTTTGGTCACATGAACCGTTGCATGTTCTTAAGTTTGTCTTGTGATTTGATTGTCAGATTTCTGGACCCTTAGTTGTGTTTTTGTTTTAACTGTGATTGTTAATTTTTTTGTTTTTATTTCTATTTTCAGCACTTTCTAGAGCTCAGATCACTGTAGTCGACGTCATTTCCTTGTGAACTTTGACGAAATAATAAAATTACTTTATGATTTACATGTTTGTATCTCACTGCAGAGCAAAAAATTATCTTTGCACAAAACTTTTAACCACAGCATCATAAATATTACACGTCCAGCACCCATAAACAAAGATCAGACTCCTTTCCTATTTACAAAAAAAATGTGTATTTACAATAAACAGACATGTTCATGATGCAATTAGTATTATTAACAATCACATGGATCTTGAATCTTCACACAGACTTAATCATGAAAATCACATTATTGATATCACATTTTTCCTTTTCTTGGGAGTTTTACAACAAAAAAAAATAACTATCATCCTCAATAAATGTTTGTTTAATAACTATGTTTGCTTGTTGGAATTGAGATCACATCATTCAGACTTTTCCAGCAAAACAAACTGGAACTCTTGAAACTAAAGGGGTGGACGAGCCACTCAAGCACCCTTTACATCATTTTACCAAATTAAAGTTAAAGTGCATTTATGCCATCAGATATGAATCACTAATACATTAACATTCGTATTACCAACAGACAGCAGATTCTGGATTAAAATCTAAAAAAAACGATTAGAAACACCTGATCCAGAGATTTCCAGATTAAAAAAAAAAAAAAAAACGTAATACAAATGCCCTGGATATCTATCGGATCCGCATCATGTTGTCCGAGATCAACGGGAGTGTTTCAGTGATTACGTGGAATCTCTGGAATGATTAACACGTGAATATCACATCTAAACAGATTAACTAAATTTCACAAGCAAAAAGGTTCATTGTCTTTTGTCAAAACCAAGCAGAATTCTATTGGTCAATAGATCATTAGTGCCCGCCCACTTTTTCAACGGCGCTAGTTCCGGAAGTATTTTTTCCATTCATTTCTCCCATAGGGATTTTTTTAAAAAGTGTTATAAGCCACTAACCAAGCCAACCAGCTACGAGGTGAAAAATAAAATTACAAACTTTGATTGGAAACAAAAACTATTTGAAATTCCGACAAAATTACAAAGGTACAAGATTATGTACCTCAGTGAGGGAAAGAACTACAATTCCATGAAGCATTGCACAGCATGATCAAATGAAAAACACTCAAAACTACACATTTTTAAAAATCTTGATTATATGTTTATAGCAAAAATATGCATATTGAATATTTTTTAAAGTGTAGAACTTAATTCCATAAAGAGATATCTTGGCGCTTTAGCTTCCCAGATAGCAAACTGACATTGAATCAACGTGGAAACAACGTCTCTCATGACATTGAAACAACGTTGATTTTGCTCATCGAATTAACGTTGAACCAACGTCAGACGCGGCATTCTTCAAAGCTAAATGAAAATCGAAAATTGGTTTGCTTTCATAACGTTGAAACAACTCGTTGATTTCAAGTTGATTTTCCGTTAGTTTTGAAAGAATGACGCGTCTGACGTTGGTTCAACGTTAATTCGATGAGCAAAACAATGTCAGATCAACGTTGTTTCGATGTCATATTTCCACATTGATTCAATGTCAGTTTGCTATCTGGGTTGTTTCTACTCTGATTGGTTTAATTGGTATACAGCATCCTGGATAATGTAGTTTTTTTCACTACAAATTCGATGTTAAACACCAAGTTAAAATAATTCTGGCTGACATCTTCAACAGAAACAAATCATAAACATAAAATTTAACAATCGTAACTCACAACAAGACCGTCTAAGGTTTATAAGTTATCTTTAAAAAGAAATTTCCCTATGATGAAAATGAATCAAGTTTCTACTTCCAGAACCCGACTGTTGCACTCTAATCGCATTACCATCAACCCAAAGCAAAATATGCATGGAAAAAAACTCCCAATCAAAATTCCCAATCGCGTGTAGGCTCTAAAATGACTGGATATCGCCCGCGACAACTTGCCAAGTAACGGTAAATGTGCAGCCGACGCAATGCAAGATTAGATTTTTTCCCTTCTCTCACTATCTGCTACAAGCGTGAATATCTCTATCATAATTCATCAATAAATATGCGGAATATCTTCATATCTCAAGAGTCTAGATCACAGAGAGGGAATACTAGAAACACATTCAGCTATACAGTCACAAACAAACAGACACATCGATAATAAACTCACTCTGAAATCAACCCGGACAGCAGCAGCAAATAAGATCACGAGACCATCGCAAATTTGCGATTTAACACGGAACAGAATCCATCGCTCGTTTCGCCACGAAGATGGCGGTCACGTTCACACTGTCATTCCGCACGAGTGTTTGATTGAGGTCGGTCATTCACAGCAGTGCCAACTGATAACTCACGCAGTGAAAGCATTTATCTGATAAAGAAATCGAGCTGATACACTTACGAAACCAACGGCTCATCCGAGGTCCAGGAAAACAACAGAAACAGGTCAAATCAGATGTGGCCAAAGTGTTTTCATTTCTGATATTCTGGTCAAGACAGCACTCGTCAATTTTCGATGGCCAATTAAATCAGGAGGCGGAGTTTGCGTTTTCACATAAACTGAGCGGGAATTCAAACTTCAGTTTTAACGGTTGAAGATTGTGAGGAGAAATATAGCTATATTTAATATCTGGTAACTGATATTAAAGTTAAATGATATGACCGACAGACAGTAATATTCAGGGATGCAAACTACTTGACTGCTTTCTCTCAAATTTTGCCATTTTTAAATAAAATTCCACCATTCACTAAAAGAAAAGGGTGTAGAAACATTTCATAAATTGCTAATAAATTTCACAAATTACAAAAGAAAATGCCAGCAATGCAAAGAATTGAATTTGATCTTTCGAAGTAGGAACTATTTTTCTGTCACTATTTTTACTATTTTTCAAACTATTTTTTTCTGTCACGGCGACAGTGTTTTGGGGGCTTAAAAACGCAAAAAAAAGAAACCACCCTCCAGAGTGGAAATCTTAAAAACGCTCCACCGTCACGTTCCTGTCTAAATGGCAAAAATGCAAATCTGCTCAAGGTGGCTCTCGTCGCGTACGTGTTTATGTCACCGGCATGCGCCAATACAGGAAAGTAACGACCAACATGTCAGATTATTTCCATACGTCGGACCTTCAAGTTGCCCTAGCAGCTCTGATTAACATACAAGAGTCTTTTCTGCAGTTGTACGAAATATTCTCACATAGTATTACTGATCAGAGAAGGTGTATTGAAGGTTGTACGCAGGCGCGCGGACTTGGTGTTGTTGTGTGGCAGTGCTCCACATCGCCACCTAGCCGCCTGGAGTGCATACTACATCGAATTTTACACACTTTTGCGTCACCATATACACGCAAATTTCCCAACCATTACGCTCGTCTAAACGAAGAATAAAAAGGGATAAGGCAACGCCACTTTTAAGTTTTCTCTTCAGATCGTTTCCGTGTAAACATAGCCTCAATCATCGTCATTTCTGGAGTGACTCCTGCATTCTGTCCGTCATACGGAGGATTCATCATACAGTATTTTAATGCGTCTGTCACTGCAGTGTGAACGTGGCCGCCGGAAAACACTTTTTATTTGAAAAAGGATGGAATCATTCAACTTAAAATTAATGTTTGAACTTTACAAAACTATAAACATGTCCTGATGAGGGTCCATCAGTGATATATACACACAGTCCCTTGAGTCTGAAGACCAGCAGTGGTAAATTGGGTTTGTCTGAATCTGCTGGTTCTCAGGGTCAGTTCCCCCAGTGACCAGCAGAGGGAGCAGCACACAGGCAGTCTGGTGTGTGTGTTTGTGTCACGCCTCATTGGGAGGAGTGTTGAAGAACATCTCCCTGCAGAGCCGCACTGTTTCTTCAGGGGAGCAGACGGTGAAGCCGATGGTACGAGGGTCCTCGAATATCTCGTGGTCGTTTCCGCCCTGGTCGGGAAACAAGAATTAGAGATAAATGATCAGATCACTTACGTACAATGTCCCGTCTGTTTTTTTCTTGCTCAAGCAAAACCCCTCTCTAATCCTCAGTGAAAACATCCTTTATATCACCTCACCTACATTTTTTTTTTGAGAGTTAACTGTGCCATTCTTTAATTTTAAAAGGTTATGCAGATCAGTTCAATTCTGTATACTTTAATAAATACTATAATAACAAATACAAATTGAATCGCTCATAAAAGAGTCTGCTAAATGAGTAAATGTAAACATATAACATGTTAAAAACGTTAAAATAATATCAGGAAACGGTTTTATAGTCATCTAAACACCCTTGAGACACACAAAGTATCAAGTGTGCCTGGCCTGCGCAGCTGGAAGGGAACACTGCTAACGTACCAGCGACGTTTCATTGCCGAAGAAGTAGATGGCGTCCAATCCCTCCTGCTCCAGGACGTCCAGACAGAGGCGTTTGTCCCAGCCCTCCGGGAACACGTCGAAACTGATCAAACCCCCTGAAAGCGCACAGAAACACACCTGTGATGATCCACACCAGCACTTATCTCTGACATTCAGGAAAATAGTAAACACAGTGTGATTCCTGGACCATCAGATGTAGATGCATGACGTTTTCCAAGTTAAAATTTTAGAGATAATGTTCAAGGAAGTGATTAAAGGTGTGATTGACTAAATTAGATGCCATCATCCCATCAATCATCCCTAAACCCCGCCCTCCTAACACATGCCAGCCAATCAGATGCCAGCAAACCTGAAAGACAGCTATAGATCGCTTTTGATTGGGTAAATAAGTTCAGGCCGCTTCTTTGACTTGTTTATGAACTATTAACCCATGTGAATGTGAAATAAAAAGGGAAATAATCTAAATTGGAAGTGTCATATTTAGTATCTATTCTATATTTGATGCATCAGCATTTTATGGCTTGTGTGATCTAGTGAGAATATGAAGGAAAAGCACCTTGATTTTATTCAATGATATCTTTGTTGTAGGATAACAGACTACTTGCTGTACATAAAATGCATATAATACAGTGTTGTAGTCGAGACCACCTCACTCGAGTCCGAGTCAACACCGAGACCAGAGAGAGTCGAGTCCAAGTCAAGACCGAGTCCATAGAGAGTCGAGTCCGAGTCGAGACCGAGACCAGTGAGGGTTGATTACCTAATTTACTTTTATTTACTTAGAGAAATCCTTTTTTTTTTTTTTTTTTTTACTGAATTTACTTAGAGTTTAAAAAATATGATCAGTTTAGGGTAAAAAGGCCACATAGTAGGTGGTGTTAAAAGTAATTTTATTACAATTTGTCATGCGCAGTTGCGCACTAGAAAATCACCAATCACTGGGCGTGTCAATCAATTTAAAGAAATATTTTATTAACATACATTAATAATCATGGAAAATATTTTTAATTGAACTCGAGTGGACTCGGGAATAATTCAGAGTCCTTAAAAAAAAAATGTTCGAGTACGAGTCAATTCCGAGTCCAAATGGACACGAGTCCATGACAAGACCAAGACCATTAAAATATGGTCTCGAGACCGAGTCTCGAGTACTACAACACTGATATAATGTCATTCATCATCTGCCAGTAATATGTCTTTGTAAGATGATAAAAGCATTAAATGCTTAGTTTTGCATATAATGCAGCCAGCGCATGTTTGAGATTCATAACTAATATTAACAAACAAACCTTCCTCAAAAGCCTGACGATCATATTTGAGACTTGTGATTTTTCTATAAAATTATGTCTGGATTATCAAGTAAACCAGTTTCTTCATTTTAGTAAGTGTTCATCCTGTTATATTATTACTAACAATATCAAAGTTATTATAATTTTTACTTTATTCAAATACAAATCAGATTTCCCGTTTGTACAATTATACTAAAATACCTTTTACTTAAAACAATAAACTATCGATCAGACGACTGGAGTAGATTGTGTGAAACTGGGTTTTCAGCAAAGGTTAGTCGAACATTTAGAGGCCTTAGAAATATGCGGATCAAATATGACACAGCAGGCTTTAAAGGTCAATCTGTCACAGAGACACACACACTTTCTGTGTTCCTCCAGTTCCTTTAAGAAAAAACATCTTGTTCCAGAGAGTTTAACCTGAGGCTCATTCTCACAGTATTGACTTGTGTGTGTGTGTGTGTGTGTGTGTGTGTGTGTGTGACGTGAACAGAGACTGTTTGTCCAAAGAGTGTGTGCAGAGACTGTTTGTCCAAAGAGTGTGTGCAAAGACTGTTTGTCCACAGAGTGTTTGAGACAGAACGGACAGAAATCAGCTGTTAAAAATTAATTATCTTTACGCACACACACACACACACACTTGTTAGTGTCCCATCACTGGACTGTAGGAACATTCCACCACTAACTCAACAGTTGCTAGAGCCACAGCCAATCAGAGGGCTTGATCTCCTCACACCCCTAGGCCCCTCCCCCTCTGTCCCTCTGGCCCCTCCCCCTCACACTGTCCATCAAACAGAAAAAGAAAAGACAAAGTCACTGTGTGTGAAACATGAGCTGAACTAGAGAAGAAAACCTGCTGAATATTGACGTCAAAGCTAATGTGTGTGGAGTCCAATGAGTGTGTGTGGTTTGTTTGTTGAGTAAACACTCGGTTCACTGCTCTGTCAAGGCACACGAGTGCATCCGTTCGCTCTCTCTTATCACCTTTAGCACAGATAACGTGTGAGTGCGTGTGACATTTTGTCTCCTCCGCAGGTCCAAACAGCACGGGTCATTTGTTTTGGGTGGTTAGAGAGCTGGCGATGTCATTTCCTGCTCACCTCTTGTGAACCGCAGGCCTTTTCCTGCAAACTCCTCCTGCAGAGCCGCCACGAACTTCTCTCGAATCTTCTCTCTCTGCGGGACGGGAGAGTTAGGACTGTTCACGGGAACTAACGTAGTACTAATGTTATTGTTAACAACAACAACAACAAAACTCACTGAACAATAAGATAAAAGACTATTAAGTCACGTGACTGAAATCACTTGATATCAACAAACCTTTAAGGCCTGTTCACACCGGGACGAGTTTCGCGCGTGTTATTCGCCGACGTTTAACGCCTCGTGACTAAACAATGGGCGCCAATATGAGTGTTCACACCGACGCGTAAAACACCACGCGTAAAAGCGGCATTTTTAAAAAAACGCCTCGGGTTCGTTTTTTTAGTTCGACGCGCCACGTCAAAAACTATCCGACCAATGAAATTGGCGCTTTTGCTCACGTGTTTGGACAGGTAGTTGCTAGGGTATTCAGGATGGTTTTACTGCTTCTGAAGAGACAGTAAAACACGACTAGGGGGCGCTCAAACACAAAACGGTCTTGCCGAGCCCACATATGCAACGGTGCAGAAGATATACGCGTCGCCGTCTACACAGCCAGGAAGAAATAAGACGAGGAAGATGCAAGGCAAGATGAATGTAAAGCTGCTGTTCTCATTGGTGCTAGAACATAAAGAACCATATGACAAACGCGACAGGGACTACAAACATCTTGATAAAAGAGAACTGTTATGGAGTGGTATCGCATGGCAAATAGGCGCCATCTAATGTCAGGGAATGAATTTGCATGTTCACTCGGCTCATCGTCAGCGAAAAACGCTTGGGTATGAACACAAAAAATGCGTTAAAAAAAAACTGACGAATAACCCGCGCTGATATTCGTCCCGGTGTGTACAGGCCTTTAGGGTCTGGTCTGAACAGATCAACAACTTTTAGCCGATCGTAGAGAATAAACTAAAATTACCTTGTCGATTTCCGAGAACTCGATTCGCTCTTCTAGCGTGCAGCTGCGTCCGATCGGGGAGATGTTGATCATGCCGTTACGAAACTCAATAAACGTCCCTCTGAGAGAGAGAGAGAGAGATTTGTAATGACATTACAGATCATCATCTCTGAAGTGTGTGTGTGATTGTGTTTTTGAGTGTGTGTGTGTGTGTTACCGTTTCTTGGGCAGCTTGATGAGCCCCATGTAACTGAGACAGAAGTTGATGAGATCTTGCAGTAATTCCTCGCCCAGATGATTCTGAATGGCCTGGGAAACAGAGACTGAACTTAAAAGAGGAATTTAAGGCTTTCAATGAATCATTTAAGACCAATGTTGTAACAATACATTTAATACTCAGAATGTCTGATGTGTCGCAAGAAAGTGTTGTTCGTGAATATAATCTATTAACAACAAATAAGCGCTTTCTGTCAGAGATAAGATTAGTGAGTTATTATACTTTACGATGCTGAAAACTATCTCACCTGATGGTGAACATGATTTCACCAAGTACCACATGTTCTTTGTTGATCCTGGATCAACTTTCCAACCAACCAACCAGATTTCAGGGACAGTTTATGTCAAGTTTAGGCTTAGAACCAGGATGAAGTACTTAAAAATCAGTGTTATTCACCTTTCATTACCCTCTGAGTTTAGGGAAAAGTTATGGGTAGGGTTAGGTTTAGGGGTAGGGATTGGGTAAGGACGACTACATTTAGGAAAATATGTTGATCCAGGACCATGTCTTACTTGGCAAAATCCCGGTGATCATCACCTGATCATCTCGGTTTCTAGCTTCCTTTGTAACAATTTATGTTTTGGTAAACACTGTTACAAAGACCACACACTCACATAAAAAGCCAAGAGTCAAACTGCCCAACTACACCAAACACTGTCTGCACCATAATGACGACTAATATTTTCATAAAACATCATAATCTAAACCACTGTTAATTTTCAAAAATAACTTCTGCTGAGATCTTACACCGTTTTTACAAAATTCCAGCGACAGCAAGTGCGACTGTGAGACGCCACACATTCAGAACAGTCTCTGTGAGCGCACTGTTGGCCCGCATTCGCATTGGAAATGGGTAGGACAATCAAATCATAAAATAACATTATTAAAAATGTAAACATTAACAAAATATAATATGGAATCGTTTAAAGCCCTTTGAACAGTTTGCCCTGAAACTCTCATTTGGACCTTGAACCGTTTGGTTCCCATTGAAGTCCATTATATGAAAAAAATCCTGCAATGTTTTCAACAAAAACCTTAATTCCTTTTCGACTGAAGAAAGAAAGACATGGACATCTTGGATGTAAATTATCAGAAAAAGTTTTTTTAAAGTGAACTTCTCCTTTAAAACTTTTAATTGAAGACATTTGAATATATTGTAAGGATCTGCCGACACACACCTGTTTGGAGATGAGTTTGCCGTCTTTGTATTGCACTGTTCCGTTTTCGGCAAAGACGTAGTCAAACTTCTGAATGACTGCAAGAGAATGAACAAAACAACAGAATGAGACACAATCAGAGCATTCGTATCATCTTATCTTATCATCCTGTGCCCTTTACCTGTGTTGCACAACACATCCTGACAAAAACACAAAGCTGTTTTCCATTCACAGATATCTAGTGCTCATTCATATTCATGTAGCCCTCAATCGGGTCATGGGGTCGACTTTTAGTTAATAAAAAAAGGTTCCCTTCATCTCAGTGGAATAAGATTTTGTGTCTTTTCATACATTATCTATCTATACAGACAAAAAAAAAACTGAGCTTGATTCGGTTGTTCTGAAGGTATGTAAAAAATATGTTTACACTTCTGGTCTTCGGGGTCAATATAACCCCACATTGAAATTAATGGGAAATGTGAAAAAAAAAACCACACGATATTTTCTTCATGTGTCAAAAAAAAAAAAAAATCGGGAATGAATCAGAAAATTTTTACAGAGAAATGAAGGCTTAGTACTAGAGCATAAATGCAATGTATCATAAAAAATAATATTTAATATGCAAACTAATGGTGTAGTTGAGGAATTGTGTGGTATATGGATACAAAAGTACTTTATATCTCCAAAAACACAGCATTAATGAATAGATGAAAAGTAAACAAAAAAAATTATATATTACTCAATTAGTCAATCAGTTGTTGGGGTCGTATAGACCCCGAAGCCCAGAAGTGTAAACAGGAAACGAAGACCATTTGAAGGTTAAGATAACACAGTCCTGTTTAAATGGCCAAAATCACATCTGCCAGTGTAATATAAACTCACATATCTAATCCGGATTCTGATCTAGATTGTGTGTGAGTGCGTATGGATGTTCTGATCCAATCACAATCTCACTGATTCTCTGTGTTAATCTAATCAGACCTGCACAATCATTATGCCACCAATCAAACGCCAGAAACTGATCAAACCCATTATCTCTAAAACTTAAAGAGAAAGTCTAGACTGAAACCAACACCAACAGGCGAGAGAGTCTCTTTAATATCTCTTCTAGATTTTACATTTATGCATTGGGCGGATTATTTTATCCCAGTGTTGTATTCGAGACTTGAGTCCGAGTCGTGACCGAGACCATAGAGTGTCGAGTCCGTTTTGAGACTGAGACCAAAGATAGCCGATCCGATTCGAGACCAGAGAGGTTGGAACCTAAGGTTGGGTCTCAGACTTAAATATATCTTCAAGAATATGTAAAATATTTGGGGCTAACAATAAAATTGGCACTATACTCAAACAGTAAACCAAATATACCATGGAATCATGTACACTGTAATGGTAAAAAGGCCACATAGCGGTGTAAAGGTAATTTTATTATAATTATGACTTACAATTATTACAATGAGTAAGTGCTCTTTTACATAACATTACTGCACACGAATTCTGTGTCAGGAATAAGTCCGAGTCCTAATATGTTCAAGTACGAGTCAATTCCTAGTCAAAATGTACACGAGTCCATGACAAGACCGAGACTCGAGTACACAACACTGTTTTATTCCAAAGTCAATTACATTGCATTTAAAGCAAATGTTTGTATAATGTCTCCTCTGTTCCAGACTGAAAGAATTATGGGATATCAGCTGTTGTTGTGTTTATGTTTTTGTGATCCAGTGGAACCAGTTCCTCCACATTCTACATATGATGATGCCAAACCCATTAAAGGGTAACTCAACCCCCGGTCAGAGCCTGACTCCGCCCACTGAAAATATTTGAAAAATGCTGGAAAAGTGTGTGTGTGGGCGTGCACCTGAGACCGGAAACCACAACTCCCAATAGGAGAATCCAACTGCAGTTGGGAATTAAAACACTTTATACCCAAATGTCCAAAAATTAACTCGAATGAATATCACTGGGGGTCTTACACATCATTAACGAACACAAGTTGTTTCAGGGTTTAGTTACCCTTTAAACACATGTGAGGAGGATGATGACCCAGACAGCAAACTGACATTGAACCAACGTGGAAACGACGTCTCTCATGACATTGAAACAACGTTGATTTTGCTCATCGAATTATCGTTGAACCAACGTCAGACGCGGCACTCTTCAAAGCTAAATGAAATCGAAAATTGGTTTGCTTTCATAACGTTGAAACAACGCGTTGATTTCAAGTTGATTTTCCGTTAGTTTTGAAAGAATGACGCGTCTGACGTTGGTTCAACGTTAATTCGATGAGCAAAACAATGTCAGATCAACGTTGTTTCGATGTCATATTTCCACGTTGATTCAATGTCAGTTTGCTATCTGGGGATCCTAGAGAGAGATATTGTTATGAAATGATGAATCTCACTCTCTAACCTTCGTCCCCGTCTCCGAGCTGTTCTGCGATCTTGGAGTAATCCGAACCCCCCACCACGCCGATCTTCACCTTCTGCTTCAAGGCCTGGAAGAACTCGTCGAGCTCGGGGTCGATCTTCTGCAGGCACGGCACAACAAGCAACAGTGAGAGGTTTCTCTCGTGACCTCTGAGTCAGTTAAACAGCCACAACCAGATGCTCAACAGGTTTCAGCACATTTGCCTCGCAACTAGACAAACAGTCGAGGAACATCGACTATGAAATGTGAAACATCATAGCTGCTCTGTGTGATGATATTCCAGCCCGTTCTCATCCTTTAGCGTCACATAGAACACTATATGACAAAACGGCGCTATACTACGCACATGGCACCCTTTATCGTTAATATTTACGCGAACCCAAGGCGTCATAAATCCTTTAGCGTGAATATGAGACTACCCTACCCTACCCCACACCTAAACCTAACCATCACAGCGCGTGTTATATTAACGATAACGGGTGCCATGTGCGTAGTATAGCGCCGTTTTGTCATATAGCGTTCTATATGACGCTAAAGGATGAGAATGCGTTGGATATTCTTGACGTTTACGTCTCCAGCGGACGTTTAAAGTGCACGTTAGTCACGGTAATGACGGTGAGCAGTTTATGGCAGTCGTTCCTCTTTAATGAAGTGTTGTGTTCTTCTTTAATCACGGGTTGAGTCACTAAACGAGATCTGTGTTTTCTGTCAGCACTGCAGACTGTCGCAGTACATCACAAAATATTGTAGATGTTGTAATAATCCGTGATCCATAACAGCGTGCACTAGGAGGACTGAAATATAAATATTGAACATTAACATACGTTTTGGTCAACAGTGTTGGGAAGGTTACTTTGGGAATGTAATTGCATATTGAAACTATTTTAATAACTTTATTATAGTAATTTAACTGATTACATTTGATTACTTTTCTATGAAAGTTGTCAACTGTTAATTATTTTCAAACATTTAAACAACCTCCAAAAACAGAGATGGCTATATTTATTTATATTTAAGAGAAATCACAATTCTAGTAAAAGTACATATTTTGCACAGAACTGCGCTGCAAATTCAAACAAGACAGCCAATTAAAAGCTTTTCTTTACTAAACGACCTTTAAAGGGATAGTCCACTTTTTTTTTTTTTTTGGAAATAGGCTCATTTTACCACTCCCCCAGAGTTAAACAGTCGAGTTTTACCGTTTTCGAATCCATTCAGCCGATTTTTTGATATTTAGAAGAATATCAGTAACCAGACAGTTTCTGGTCTCATTGACCTCCATAGTATATATTTTTTTCCTACTATGGAAGTCAATGAGACCAGAAACTGTCTGGTTACTGATATTCTTCTAAATATCAAAAAAATCGGCTGGATGGATTCGAAAACGGTAAAACTCGACTGTTTAACTCTGGGGGAGTGGTAAAATGAGGCTATTTCCAAAAAAAGTGGAGTATCCCTTTAAATGGCAGGAGACATCGGGCACATCAAAAATAGGCAAAGCAACAAATTAATATTATTGAACATTTCAAGCTTTTTACAGAAAATATTCAGATGTAACCCCCTTTGGAATCGTCAATATTTTTAATAAGTAAGCCAAACTGTAATTAAATTACACTTTTTTTCAGCAAACTTTTTACAGTTACATTTGTTTTGTAATTAAATGATATGTATATGGACATTAACAGTAACTTTCAGTGACTTTTATGGCCATTCACAGCCGAAACTGCTGGCTGTCAGGTGTGAAGACCTTTCATGTGTTAATGCTGGAAGACAATCCTGAGCTTCACACTCGTATTATTTACCATCTTTATTTCTTTTTCTTTTTATATATATATAACAAATAAAGTCACTGTGCTATAAGAGTTTTGGGTGGGATGAATTTCAAGTGAACCAATGAAATGACTTTAGAGATAAGTGTTGTTCGGGGGTAAGTTTCGCCTCATAGCAGCCAATTCAGTGGGAAAGAAGATATTTTGAAAAATGTTGGTAACAAACAGTGGCTGGTCCCCATTGACTTCCATAGTATTTTTTTTTTCGTACCATTGAAGTCAATGGGGACCAGCCAGTTTATAGCCAACATTCTTCAAAATATCTTCTTTTGTGTTAAACAGAAGAAAGAAATTCACACAGGTTTAGAATTACTTGAAAGCAGGTAAATGATGACAGGATTTGCCCTTTAAGATGAATGATCAAAGCGGGGTGCAGATTGGCACAATGGTGTGAATGTCCCATAAAAACTCTTTTTGAAAAAAGGCTGTGTGGTGGTATTTCCCATATCTGGTCAGTTATACTCCCTGATTCGTCCGAAATTATGCGGTGTAGCCTATTGGAATTTAATCAGATTTGAGAAGTTTACAGTTTAGACTTACAACTAAGGTGTTTCTACATCAGTGTTATTCACTCATTTCCCTTTTATGGGGGAATACGTTATAGGTAAGGTTGGGTTGTTCCAGGATCAGCTAAATGTGTTGATCCAGGAACATACTTGGCAAAATCACGGTCTTTTGAACGTGCCTTTAACGTTGTATCATAGCATTTTGTGTGTGTCTGATAATGTTATATACCTATATAATGTTATATACCTATTGAAGTTTTATATTTCATTAGCCTACCACTTTCACAGAAGTTCGAGGAACAGCTTAACTGAAGAGGAAAGGACATTGACAGTCAGCAGAGGACATTTGACACTGATAGCATAGCCAAACCCATTTCAATGAAAATAAACACTGGAGCAGAACGGTATGTTAAGTGACAGATTTCACTGGACTAATACAACGGAACGAGTACACAATGTGCTACTCCCACAAACAGAATGTTCGCCGGAATTCTGTTGGCAATGTTTACGAGGAAATTACTAACGTTCTAAGAATGGAACGTTCTAAGGATTTTTTTAAAACCATAAACTAACATCCCCAGAGACTCACATGGAAAACCACTGTTAGCTCATAGCTACGTGCAGGACGAGTGTGCCATCATCACAAACGCACATAAACACACTCATGCATCAATGACGCGCGAGCGCACACACACTCACGAGACAATCTCTACAGCACACACAGATCAGGGCTGCAAATAGAAACATTATGTTACATAACTGAGATTGTTATGCTCACAACAGCTGAGAAGACGCGTCTTTTATCACCCTTTAATTTAGTATCATATATAACGCGTAATATCGCAACTATCACGTAGATTTAAAAAAAAAAATGTATCCTATGATGTAAACATACCTCTCTGGGGGGCGTCAGCGTTCCGTCCACATCAAACAGGCACAAAACATTTCGACATGCGGGTGTACGACACTTTATATCCATTTCTTCTTGTCCAGCAATTGAAGTAGATATTTAAAAAACACTAATAATAAAAATAAGACAATTAAAAAAGATAAGACACTAAATGACCCAAGGTGAGTTAATGCATAAGAATATAATGAGACAGTCTCTCTTCTTTTTTGAAACCGAACGATAAAGAAGTCAATACTAATTTGGATTCAAGTATATACTTCAGGCTACATGATCACTGCTGAGTGTGAATGAAATGAATCCACACATGTGGTTCCTACTGCAGCGCTGTGCGCCCTGAGGAGGGAGTCCGCCTTAGCCAATCAAATGCGCGGAATCTGGTCACGTGCGTAAAAGGGGCGTTCCCGCACTGAGAGACGAGGACATGGAACTCGGAAAGTGTCACGTAACAAGAAGAGTCAAACCCGGAGATAGTTCGACCTTTCACCTAGTACTTCATATCTCACAATTAGGCTACACCTGATCATATAACAACAACAGCAGAAGCAGCATAACAGAAAATTAAGAAAATAAATAATTGAGAATGCAAATGTATTCAATCAATTTTACACTTAAAACATAAAATGTAATGATATGGTAATGCAAATCATTGTGCATTGCGAATTACATTGACAGAATACATTGTGTTGTGTATGTTAGAAGTGCAACAGAACAAATTAATTGCAGGCTGGATCTGGAATGACTTGTTTCGGTTTCTAGGGGGCACACATGGAAGTGAGTTTTTGTTTTTGTTTTATTGTTTACTCACTGACACACACAGTCCCCAGACTGGACAGACGGATGGCTGAAGCACACACCTTGCTGACAGGTAACTACTTATGGAAATAGACAATGGAATGAGGTGCTGGAGGCACAGATGAGCCAGGAAGGATCATCCTCGTCCACACACACCAGGCTGTTGTGTTGGTGTCTGAGTCATATTTAGCTAGTGTTACAGCGCCATCTTGTGCAAGAACAGAAAAAAAGAGTAACACAAGAACTCCTGACTTTGAGCCATTACACATTATTGCACTTTATTATTACCAGTTTGACTTTATTTCTGACATAGGCTACATCTATACACACCATTTGTTGCAATTGTTCTATGATCAAGTTAGGCTTAAGATGCTCTTGGGAAATGAAGCCCAGGAAATGATGGTAGTGTTTAGATCAAATCAAATCCCATAATCCTGTAGTAGCCAATTCATTGAACCAGCATTATAAACTGATTATTTTCACCATTGTTGAGATTCATGCTGATTCTACATAATAGCTTCTCTGATAGCTTTTCATAATAATAATAGCTTCGCAAATGTGCTTTATAAACAAAATGTTTGAGCAGTCAGAGAAAATCTGCTAAAGCAAACACTGACCATCATAATGGTGACTTAAAATGAAAAAAAAAAAAAAACCCATGAAACATTACCATCTAAACTTCAGTTGAATCTCAAGACTTTTTGAAGATGTGTGACAGAAATAAAGTCAAACTGGTAATAATAAGTGCAATAATGGCTCGAAGTAGTTCTAGTGTTTCTCTTTCCTTCAATGATTCTTCTACATTAGTTGTCACCACTAATGGCCAATCATCACTTAATTAATCACTTAACTATCTCATTAACTTCAACACTGCTTCAGTGTTCATTTTTAACACCCTGTAGGACCTACAGGTATACCAGAAGTGTTAATTTAACACTGGGGATTTTGCTGTGTAGTCTAGCTTATAGCCTATCGAGTTATTCAACATTTTCAGCACTTAAATAAGCAATCTTTCTCTGCGTGTGAACATGAATCTGTTCCTGGAGCTGAATTAGTTACGAACTTCCAGGAAACAACTGCGTCAGGCTCGACTAAACTGAGGATAGACTGTTAAAATGAGCTGTGATCACTATCAGACATACAGAAGAGGAAGAGAAGTTTAAACAAGAACTCAGATCTGAAACACTGCCAGCTTTACTTCTGTAGGCTCTATCTGACTGAACATCTTTATGACAGTGTCTGTGTGTGTGTGTGTGTGTGTAAAAACTTACAGGCTAAATGATTCTGCCGAGCCGAGCGCACATATTTTGTGTCTTTAGTTGATGAATTTAGGTCAGTAAAGTCCAGAAATTAACCTACACTCTTAGAAGAAAAGGTTCTATATAGAACCTTAAAAGGTTCTATCAGCGCTATGTATTTGGAACCCCTAAAAGGTTCTATACACTCTTAAAAAAAGAGTTCCTCTGGGTTCTATATAGAACCCTGGGGTTCCATACTTGGCCAATAGAACCGTTTACCAAAAAAAAAAAAAAAGGTTCTATATAGAACCATTTTGGAGTTACATAAATGAAGCGGGGGATGGAACCATTTCTGGTTCTAAATAGAACCATTTCTTCTAAGAGTGTACAGAGAGTTTTTACTTTGGCCAGTCCTGATTTAACAGTTCTCTGATTTACATTCAAAAGACATGTTTTCAAGGCTACTAAAATAATTTTGTTTTTCGTTGGCATGAAGTCACCCAGCTACAAAAGTTCTAAGAACGAATGTTATTTGGTTATTTCCGAATATTACCAGAACGTTCAAAATATGTTTCAAATGTTTTTTTTTTCTTGGTTAAACATAAAGGGAAGGTTTTCTCTTTTTTAATGTTTTTGAAAGTACCCTATTATGGGAACATTAATTTTGAATGTTATCTGTGAGTAATTTCTTCAGTTAGGGAAATGAACAATAATCAAATTTACCATAATCTAACTTGAAAATAAGATTAATGTCCTAGTTTTAAAGAATTTGCATTAGATTCACACACAGTGTCATCATATTCATAAGATCTTTATTCCACTCGTTTTACAGATATTTTACAGTTTGCTAAAATTCTGTTGTCATGATAAAAGTCTCTATAATTGAAAAATCCCCTTTAACTGAACTTCAACTCTTTAGGGGAACTATATGAAGAGTTCAGATGCAAAAGCCTCTAAGTGCCATTTGAAATTTTCTTCTAAAATGATCATTTTTATCAAGCTTGTATATTTAAGTTCAGTAATTTCACTTAAATAGCAATGAAGATTAACCTATTAATTGTCATTTAAGTGAAATTACTGAACTTAAATATACAAGTTTGATAAAAAAAAATTGTCATTTTAGAAGAAAATTTCAAATGGCATTTAGAGGCTTTTGCATCTGAACTCTTCATACTTTGACTAAAACTAAAACTGAACTTGACCTGGGATCCGGTTTCTCATGGACATCACACCCAGATCACCCATCCGACTGTAAACACTCATTCCTGATTCTGAAAAGAGATTTTTTATGAGCAGATTTACTGGCCGCAATCTGTCAGCGTTTATAACACACAATCTATATCTGCCTCACTTGGTTTCATGCTTTACAGCTCCGAATGACCTTTGGCCCCTCCAAGGTCCCCCAGAACAGTTACGAAGCGCTCAGACCTTCCAGCACATTCTGTGAGCTGCAGAAATAGACATATATTTGACACTCTCTAAAAAAAATGCAGGGTTGTTTTAACCCAACCGTTTGGTTTTGGGTTAACAGCTGGGTTTGTCCATATTTGACCCAAATTTGGGTTAAAACAACCCTGCATATTTGAGTCGGCTGTTTGAAACCAGGGGGCTTGAAGTATATGGGACTTTTTCTGAGATGTTTGGATTGAATTCAAAGAAGGCTGCTGGACCTTATTGAGGTTCATTGGTCAGTACGTCATCTCTGATCACACATAAAGCAGAAACTAGATCGATGAAGGTTTTTCCCTCAGATCAGGTTGTTCATTAACGCGCAGAGACACACCTGAGCGCGCATTTCCTCTTTATGTTCTTGTAAAAACACAAATGCAGAACACTCTCGCTGCAGTCAGTTTATGATGTCTTCTCAGAGACATCATGTGGACCATGTTGTTGTTGATCGGACCTTTCTGATGGAAATGATCGGGAATTACGGGCTTGAGGAATGACAGGCCTCTTCTGAAGGACACTGGTACTCACTGCGGACGGGATGTTGGGTTTTTTCTTGCTCTGGTTCGGCTCTGTGCTCTGCGTCTCTGGGTTCGACGTGTTGAGCTGCAGAAACTCCTCCGTCACTTTAAACGTGGTTCTGCTGGAGGATGAAGATTCGCCCTGGAGCCTGAAGTTCGTGAAGGACATGGTGGAAATGGCTGTCGAAGCGGAGAACAAACAAAACCAGGACGCGGGTGAGGAAGCCGTATATTCAAAGAATGTCCTGAAAACTACACATGAATTACAAGATTAATCAATTTATTACATTTTCCATTTGATATAGAATAGAGGTCTTTCTATAGGCGAAGACAGTAATAACACACCTAACTATACTTCAGGTTAGTAAGTGAAACTAGTGGAAGAAAACACAAGACCATTGATATATGAGGTCTTGAAAAGTGATTCAGTAGACCAGGTTTGGGATCTGTTAACCAACGTCACAGGGTAAGTTGAACCAAAATGAACTAGATAAGTAGAAAAAAACAGGAACAATAGTCAACATCATGCATCTGCTCTGAATATTGATTTACAGGTGAAACTCGAATAGTTTGAATATGGTGCAAAAGTTCATTTATTTCAGTAATTCAACCTAAAAGGTGAAATTATTATATTCTATAGACTCATTACATGCAAAGTGAGGTATTTCAAGCCTCTATTTGTTATAATTTTCAGCTTATGAAAACCTTTCACAATATTCTAATTTTGAATTTGGGGTTTTCATAAGCTATAAGTCATAATCATCAACATTATTACAAATAAAGGCTTAAAATGTCTCACTTTGCATGTAATGAGTCTATATGATTTAATAGTTTCACATTTTAAGTTGAATTACTGAAATAAATTAACTTTTGCAGGATATTCTAATTTTTCGAGATTCACCTGTAAAACATGCTTTACAAAATATACTAGCATTAAACATACATGGTAGTGATTTATTGTACAGTCCTGCATGTACACTATATACTTATTATAGCATTTACAATAACTGAGTGTATACCCTTAACCTAACCTTAATCCATGCAGTTTTATTACCAGTAATTTCTTGGGTAAGTTCACTGTAAGTACACATACTGTAAAATAAAGTGTATTGTCTTTATTCAAAAATATTATTTAAAAAAAAAAAAATTAAATACTTATGCAACCAATACTTCCAATACCCACTTCATGAAACTGATGATTAAAATATTTGCTAATATTAATAATATTTTATATTTTTGTCAATATGATACCTTATATATATGGGGCATATTTAGTCAAGAATAACTCGACAGCTTCTCTCAACCTTCACTCTTAAAAAAAGGATTTAAAAGGAGTTTTTCCACAGCAATACCGAAGAAAAACCATTTATGTTCCAAAAAAACCTTTTAGTGAACAGTTCTAAAAAAGAACCATTTTTTCTCTAAGTTTAAAGAACATTGTCATTTTTGGAATGGAAAAATTGAACCATAATGGAACCATAAATACCAATAAAGAATCTTTATTTTTATGAGTTCAGCCTTGATATGACCTGCTTCCAATACTGACCTCATAGAACTGATGGCAAAAATTGCTCATACATTTGTCAATATAATAACTTATTGGGTATATTTAGTTAAAATAAATTTGACAGCTTCTCCAAACCTACTCTCTTAAAAATAAATGTTCCAAAAAACAAAACAAAAAAAAACCTTTTAGTCAACAGTTCGTAGAAACAAACAGTGTAAAGAACATTTTAATGATCCTTTTTGGAATGCATACTCCTGACGAAGGTCGTGTGACCGAAACGTTGTGTGCGAATAAACTTGATTGAAAAGTGCAAGTAATGATAGTGTGCGGGAGTTCCTTATCTCCTTTTTGGAATGTAAAAGTTCCATGGATGTTCGTAATGGAAACATCAATGCCAATAAAGAATGTTTATGTGTAAGAGTGGACTAGTTGAGTGCCCATTAAAACCAACATGAAGTCATTACGAATGAGAAGGAAACAAACATCAGAGGTTGAGCTGATGTTGAATAAAGTTGACGACTGAAACGTGGTGGTGATTTTGTTCTGGTAGGCCTGGACTTCCAGATCACGGTTCTGTTCAGCGGGTTCAACACGACTCATTACCGGCGCAGGGGTTGCGGCAGCAGTACGTGTGAAGCCGTGGAGATCCTCAAGTCCCTGCATGTGAGTTCTGCTTCAGTGGCGTCTGCTCGGAGGACGTTTGAAGGGCGTTCAGGGTTATTAACCCCGCCTGTCCTCGGGCACGCTGAAACATTATGCTGGAGATTTAAACCAGTGCGGATAAAACCCAGCGGTTAAATGTAACACGTTTTCCTGTTCGTTTTGTCCGTTAGAACAGCAGTGAACTCGGATGTGTGATGTTGGGTCCGTCCTGCACTTACGCCACTTTTCAGCTGGTGGAGTAAGTTCAACTCAAACTGGATTTGTCAATGACTGATTTGTAACTGTTATCCCCAATATTACATAGAGTATGTGATTCTTGGGAAGTAGGCGAGCTGTAGTTTCACTTACTAAAGGCCTGTTGCCACCAAGAAATATAAACATGTTTTAAGAGTTTAATGGTTAACTTTAAGAGAATAGCAAGTCCACATCAACATAACGATGAAGACACAGAGAATCAACGTTTGTTCAGCTGATATACAATACAAACGCTGACGGCCAATCAGAATTCATCGCACACTTTAAAGTCAGATGGGTTAAAAAACAGAGCATTATCTGTTAGTGAAGACCCTAATCATCGTTATACTTCTTGGCGTGACTGTGCCTTAACCCAAAACCTCAATTGAACTTTTCTATATAGCTAATTATGTATTGAGCTGTATATTAACCATTATGGCACCAAATGAATGACTCATCTTGTCTGTCAGTCAGAATGTGGGTCTGACGCTGACTATCCCCATCATCTCCGCTGGGAGTTTCGGTTTGTCCTGCGACAACAAGGAGAAACTCACCCGGCTGCTTCCTCCGGCTCGCAAAATCTCCCAGTTCTTTGTCTACTTCTGGGAAGCGTACTTCCCCAACCTGAAACCAAAGTGGAAAACAGCGTACATCTATAAAAAACCCAACAACACAGAGGAGTGCTTCTGGTATGCTCAATAACACACACAAATGACAACAAACACAAACACACACAAACACTGAGATGTCTGTTGGTCCGTCCATCAGGTACATCAATGCTCTGGAGGCGGGATCCGCTTACTTCGCCACCAACATATCCAGAGCAATGCTGTCGACTCCAGATGAACTGAATATATACCTGAAAGCTAAAGACCGACACAGCAACAGTGAGTTAACATCACATGACCTATCTGTCTGTCTGTCTGTCTGTCTGTCTAGCACCCGCTAACCCATCCCCCCATCCATCCATTCATCTACCTACCCATTTATCTACTTAGCCATCTATCTGCTTACCCATCTATCTACTTACCTATCTACCTACCCAACAATCTACCTACCCATCTATATATCTACTTACCCATCTATCTACCCAACTATCTACTTACCCATCTAAATATCAACTTACCCATCTAAATATCAACTTACCCATCTAAATATCAACTTACCCATCTATCCACCCAACTATCTACTTACCCATCTATATACTTACCCATCTATCCATAATAACCCATTTATTTATGTCCTTACCATCTACAAACTTACCCATCTACCAACCTACCTATTTATTTATCTATTTACTTGCCCATCCATCCATGCATGCATGCATCCATCCATCCATCCATCCATCCATGCATCCATCCATACAGCCAGCCAGCCAGCCAGCCATCCTTCCTTCCTTCCATCCATCAATCCATCCATCCACACACCCATCCATCCATCCATCCATCAATCATCAAAGTACATATTTATAAACATTCCTGTTTTATCTGTTACAGGAGTAAAATCTTTGCGTCCGTGTTTTGTTTTGCAGTTTTTGTCGTGTGTGGGACTCCAGACGACATTCTCCACATTAAGCACACCTCCAAAAGTTCTCCAGATGTGGTTTTCGTCCTGATCGACCTGTACAAGTGAGTCTGTGATTCCCATAATCCCGTCTCAGATCACATGACTGTCGCTCGCAGTGACTGTGGCGTGTCTTTCAGTGAGGGTTATCACACCAACGTGTCCAGCTTCGATCACATGAAGAACGTGCTGGTGGTCACCATGCACAGCTTCAGGAGCTACTCCAACCACACGGCCTGGAAGTCCAACGGAACGGTAGAGCGCCATCGTCACACTTCTCTCAGTCCATCTTTCTCTCGTTCATTGTCTTTCCGTCAAGTTCATGTTAAGGCTTCAGGAAACAGAGAAAGCAAATAATTAACTGTATGTGGAAATGAACATACTGTATTTACAGTATATACAGTGTGGAGAACAAGTTTTTGATACACTGCTGATTTAGCAGGTTTTCCCACTTACAAAGCATGTCATTTTTTATCATAGGTACTCTTCAAGTGGGAGTGACGGAATCTAAAACAAAAGTCCAGAAAATCACATTGTATGATTTTTAAGTAATTCATTTGCATTTTATTGCATGACATAAATATTTGATCACCTACCAACCAGTAAGAATTCCGGCTCTAACAGACCAAGAAGCCCTCCTGTTCTCTCTCATTACGTTAAACAACTGCACCTGTTTGAACCCGTTACCTGTATAAAAGACACCTGTCCATATAACCCCTCCACCCGGGTCCTACTCGACCTGCTCCGAGCGGGCCTCGAACCCTGGTCTCTGGCATGAGAGTCGGGTGCTCTAACAAGGAGGCTAAAGACTGCAGCCCCTAGCATCTGTTACATCCACACACTCAACCAAACCAACTCCAACCTCTCCACAATGGCCAAGAACAGAGAGCTGTCGAAGAACATCAGATAAAATTGTAGACCTGCACAAGGCTGGAATGGGCAACAGGACAATAGGCAAGCAGCTTGGTGAGAAGGCAACAACAGTTTACATTTACATTTATTCATTTAGCTGACGCTTTTATTGTCAGAGGTTGCACGCCTCTAGAGCAACTAGGGGTTACGCGTCTTGCTCAGGGACACACTGGTGTCTCACAGTGGAGTCGAACCCGGGTCTCTCACACCAAAGGCATTTGTCTTATCCACTGCGCCCTCACCACCCCATCACCACAGTTGGCGCAATCATTAGAAAATGGGAGAAGTTCAAGATGATGGTCAATCTCCCTTGGTCTGGGGTTCCATGCAAGATCAGATCTCACCTCGTGAGGCGTCAATGATCACAGGGAAGGTGAGAGATCAGCCCAGAACTACACGGCATGACCTGGTCAATGACCTGAAGAGAGCTGGGACCATAGTCTCAAAGAAAACCATTTATAACACACTACGCCGTCAAGGATCCTGCAGCGCACACAAGGTCCCCCTGCTCAAGCCAGCGCATGCAATAAAATGCAAATAAAAAAAAATTAAACAATGTGATTTTTCTGTATTTTGTTTTAGATTCCGTCACTCACAGTGGGATAGTACCTATGATAAAAATGACAGACTTCTACATGCTTTGTAAGTGGGAAAACCTGCAAAGTTGGCAGTGTATCAATTACTTGTTCTCCCCACTGTATATTTTATATATCGACTACTATTAAGGAGTAAAAAAATACACACCATCACAGGCACAAATTTCTTTAGGGTTCTGAAACAAACCGGCCGATACTGTGCAGAAAACTAGTATCTGAGCACAACGTTGAAAATAGTTTGCCAAAGTTGTCAGGGTGATGACACTCTTTCTTCATGCATGCTTTCAATGTCAATGTTACCCTGAACATTCTTACTGGTGACGTGTCTCTCATGACGGGCCAGTTTCCTTCCGTCCTGCAGGCACTGAACGATTATGTGGTGGCTTACCATGATGCCGTGGTTCTCTTCGGTAAAATGATGAGAGACAATCTGCTGGCAATGAAGAAACAATCGTATGGTGAGAGCAGTGACATCATTCCCTTCAGGAACATGACGTTTGATGGTAAGAGCTGAAAAAACAACACCACACTGAATCAGCACTCAGTGTTTTGTAAATTGATATGATGTGATATTGATGTGTGTGTGTGTGTTCAGGTGTGGGTGGACACTATGAATTAGACGCCAGTGGAGACAGAGACTTCAATCTGTCTGTGGTTTACACATCCAGGTCAAACAAGGTGAGTGGTCTGGAGTCGTGAAAATAGAACAGTTTATTATGAGGCTTTTTCATTTTTATTTTCAATTCAATGGCCTACTGGTTCTGCCCAGCTTTAAATCTCCTTTCCTGCTGGTTCGGGCCAGCCCTGTATTTACTGTTTCCCTGCTGGTTCCGCCCAGCCTTGAATCTCCCTCCCCGGCTGGTTCTGCCCAGCCCCGTGTTTACTATTTACCTGCTGGTTCGTCCCAGCTTTGAATCTCCTGTGTCCCCGCTGGTTCTGCCCATCTTTCTAGAACTTCCTGTGTTTCCAGAGTTCCTGCCCAACCTCCCTCTCCCTCCTCCTCTACCAAAACCATCCTGTGCACCAGCCTTTCCTCAGATGATCCCAGTCAGTCCCCTGCAGTACAGTGGATTTACCTCAGGTCATACAGTCCCTGCTCCGCCTCCAGCCACAGAGCCCCGGACTCCACCCCGGTCCTCCGACCCAACGGCTCCACCTTGCCTCAATGCTCCCTCAGCTCTACCGTGGCCCATCATCCCACCAGGCTCCTTCGTCCCCTCGTCTCCACCTTGGTCTGGTACCCCCCTGGTTCCAACACAGGACTCCTGGCTTCTGTCTGCGCCACTGCCTTCCAACCCTGTGACTCCCCTTCCCTCCTGCTCCGCTGCTGTCATCGGTCCTCCGGCTCCAATGCGATCTTCGGGGTCCCTGCCTCTGCCTCAGTACCAAGAGCTGTCAGTTCCGCCTTGGACCTCCAGACCTGCAGTGTCACATTGGCTCTATGTCCGGGTCTCGCAGATTCCCTGCTCCCAGGCCTCCACCATGGCTCCTACCTCCTGCATCCCTACCTTGGATCATCTTGCTGACAGTGGCATTGGTCCCAGTATGGCCGCAACTGCTCCTGACTCACCATTGATCCTCCCTCCTTCCCTCTACTCCCCTGACTGATTTTGTTCCTTTCCTCTTCAATGTTTTCTTCCTTAGCCCCCAGTCTACCTCTTCAGTTGGACCTTGTATGGCCCACCTTTCCAGAGGGGGCGTACTGTCAGGGTCATGTTCTGTTCTATGTGTTTTGAATCTGTTTTCCCTGTGCCTGACATATGACCCAGTTCCCCAATGTGTCTGATCAATGATTCTGTTCACCTGTTCTGCTTTTTATCTCATTAGTTCCCCATATCATTTAAGCCCAGTGTTCCCTGTGGTGTCCCATTGTTCGGTAACGTCAAGGTTGCGTTGCCCCCAAATCAACAGTTTAAACCAAAAGCTGAGAAGTGTATTTTCTACTTCAACGTACATAAACGATAAAAGCATCTTTTCATTCTTCGTCTGTGTTTTGATAAGGAGATTCAGTGCTCTGTCAGAAGATGTGTAATAGCGCCCCCTACCATATAACAGTGAAAACACTGAAAGCCTGGAAATTCCGTTTCACGTTACAAAAATAAAATGGATTTCGCATTGTTTACCTCTTTGTCACAACTATCATTGTTCACCTTTTTCATTTTATGCGTTTTCTCATTTATGAAAGAAATGTACAATTTGCATATATATATATATATATATATATTTAAAAATATTTAATTTTACGATTTAATAATGATTTATTTAACTATATAATAAATTCTATATGTATAATTTTCCCATATGAGTTTGAGTTGATGTAAAACTTATTATAAATCAAATCATAAAAATGTATTTAAAACTAAAAATTATTTCAAACAAATATTTTTTTTTGTAAACCCTCCTACTAATAAATATATTTCTGGTGTCTTCAGTATAGGACACTCTTTGTCTTCAACACGTCCCTGAACATCACGCGGTTGAATCACTCGAATCCTGAACTGCATTGGGACGGATCACGGCTGCCCAGTGACAAACCCGCTCTCGGTAACCGGCTTGCATTAGTTTATAAAGGGTCATGTGACAGATGACATCACGCTAGGATCTGTTTCTCAGGTATGGAGACTCAGAACATCATCATGATCGTCCTCGGGCTCAGTGTGGTGATCGCCACGGCCATCGCTTTCATCTTGTACAGGTACAACGAATTTTGCTACTTTTCAATCGTACGATTCTGACTTTTTTCTGAAACCATCTGCTGTTTTCTAACATCAGTTTAACATGCATTCTAAATCATTACATCTTAAAGACATCTTTTAAACGTCTATTTGACATCTGACAGGAAACGTCCAATAGATGTATTGTACACTCTAAATCCCAGATAGCACAAGTCTATTTGATGTGACGTTTACATCTGGAAGACATATTTTTAAGAGTGTTTTCTCGTCTGCAATACGTCTATAGGACGTTTCCTGTCAGATGTCAAATAGATGTTTAGAAGATGTCTTTAAGATGTAATGATTTAGAATGCATGTTAAAGGGTTAGTTCACCCAAAAATGAAAATTCTGTCAGTATTTACTCACCCTCATGTTGTTCCAACCCCGTAAGACCTTCGTTCATCTTCGGAACACAAATTAAGATATTTAAGATATTAAGATCGCTCCTGCATACAGTCCATAGGCTTCTTGAGGGACTGGCTCTTGCTGTCCCCGAAAAGTCATTAAAGACATCGTTAAAATAGTCCAAGTGACTACAGGGGCTCAATCTTAAGTTTATCAAACGACGAGAACACTTTTGTGCGCAAAAAAACAACAAAAATAACTACTTTATTTCAACAATTCGTTTATTTCTCCCTCTGCGCGAGTCAGGTTACTAGTTTAATAGCGTAAGCTTCTGTTATTGTACGTCACACGCATCACACACACATGACCAGCGTCGGCCAATAGTGAGCCTACGTGTGACGTACAGTGTTGTGCAAGTTACTTCCAAACTGTAATACATTAGGTATTACTTGTTACTGTTATTTAAAAGTAATTCATTACCTTACAATATTACTGTCTCAGATTTGTAATGCGTTACATTACTCATGTATTACTTTTGAGTTACTTTCACCAAAATAACTAAGTAGAACTTAACTTTTGGGCTGTAACGATATGCAATATGAAACCGAAATCGCCATTCGCCACACGACTCAGATCCACGAACCTACAGAATCGCGACACACCTCTTCCAACTCCAGCATTATTCTCCTTACCGTCCAGATCCAATGCTGCTTTATCTTTAAATTAGGCTATTAGTATTATTTGAAGTTAACATTTGAAGTTAACCACAAAACTAGTTGAGGATAAATTATTGAAAATTGGGGAAGTCCAGCATTATGGACATGACATTTGCAGTCAAAACTTGAAATAAAAATTCTCAGAAAATACATGTATTGAAACGTATATAGGCTACTTCCTTAAAGGACTCCAGACATTAGACAAATATCAGTCTATGTTTTATTTTTAATATTAGGGAAAAGACACACATTCATGCGTGAAAAAAAATAGGAGGCAAAATATATTTTTTGTAATTCTGTTAATTACACTGCGCAAATCGGATGAGGAAGGGTTGGCTCTCCAGTCTCCATAGAACTTAAAATATTCATTTTATTTTAGTTTTCGTGTTCGCATTTATGAGGAAAAAACAATGTTACAGACGCGACCGCTCTGAACTGGCACTAAAAGACTGCTTTAAAACTTTCACACAGTCTGTTGCCTTTAAGAAGTAAAAGCAGACAATACACTGTAATACAACTGTAATACAAGCCTCACTGAACATGTAACGAGTAAAATATTACTGAAAATTGATTAGTAATGCCTTACACTACTGCGTTACAGCAAAAACTAATATGTTACAGTAATGTATTACTTTTGTAATGCGTTACTCCCAACACTGGTGACGTAGCTCTACGCAATCACACTACGTTAACTGACTTACAGGCTCATGGAGAAGGACGTGAATAGTTGAAATAAAGTCGTTATTTTTGTTGTTTTTTTTGCGCACAAAAGTGTTCTCGTCGTTTGATAAACTTAAGATTGAGCCCCTGTAGTCACTTGGACTATTTTAACGATGTCTTTAATGGCTTTTCGGGGACAGCAAGAGCCAGTCCCTCAAGAAGCCTATGGACTGTATGCAGGAGCGATCTTAATATCTTAAATATCTTAATTTGTGTTCCGAAGATGAACGAAGGTCTTACGGGGTTGGAACAACATGAGGGTGAGTAAATACTGACAGAATTTTCATTTTTGGGTGAACTAACCCTTTAAACTGACATCTTCTACGCATCTATTTGACATCTGACAGGAAACGTCCTATAGACGTATTGCAGATAAGCAAACACTCTTAAAAATACGTCTTCCAGATGTAAACATCACATCAAATAGACTTGTGCTATCTGGGATAATACGTCTTCCAGATGTAAATCTGTGCTATCAGGGCTAGATGTTCAGACAGCATGTGACAGCTCTTATGTTTATTTGTTTATTTATAGAGAAATGTGTCATATGTTTGTGATTTCAGGCAGAACAGGCGAGTGAGAATCAATCAGAAGAAATGGTCTCACATTAACCCGTCGGTCATCACTCCACTGGACGACGAAGAGAGAAACCACTTCAGTCTGAGAGTAAAACTTTCTGTCTGTCATTACGTGTGTGAGGATCTGTCTTCCTCTGAGTGTGTGACGCTGTCTCTGTGTGTGTGTTTGTGTGTTGTAGATCGATGAGGATAAGAAGGGTGACAACAGCGTCGAGATACAACACAAAGGTCGATACGACAAAAAGGTCTGTGCGTCCCGTCACGTGTGTGTGTGTGTGTATTGTGTGTGTTATGAATATTTACATGTGTGTCTGTGTGTTTCTGTAGCCCGTCATTCTGAAGGAGCTGAGAAACACCGACGGAAACTTCTCTGAGGATCAGCGAATCGAGCTCAACGCTGTAAAAACCTATTCATCTCCTGAAACCTGTCAAATTTTTCATTTTAGCTTTAACATAAAATGTAAAATTAAATACACTTTACCACAAATTCTCAATACTGTAATGCAAAAAATGGATGTATCATTAATTTAGTATGACACAAATTGTTTGCATTGATTTAAATGTATGCTGATTTAAATAAAAATAAATGACTGTCACAAGAATCTAGAATTAGAGAAAATAAAAACATCCTGAAAGTGTTGTGAAAGTTACAGCACAATGCAAACAAAATGTTAATTGTGTTAAAAACAAGCTTAGTTTGATTCAGAATGTAATTTCTTTGTTTAATATATAGAATTTCTTTAAAATGATCATTACTTATAAAAAATAAATGCTAGTTCATACAAAAATAAACTACATCACTAGAGTAATGTGTAATGATTAAAAATTGAGTAATGAGTAATCTTTTTTTAATATATTGAATTAAATTTTATTTTAAAAATTTCTGTTCTAGTTTAAGTTTTAGTGATTATGTTGTGTTCTTGTCATTTTTATAAGTTTCCTTGGTAACACTTTATTTAGTCACATATGTTACTTACCATAGTAATAACAGTAAATGATGCATAATTACATGCAACTAACCCTCAACCTAATCTTACCCTAACCATATAGTGAGTACATGAAGTTGCTTATTATTACTAAATAATTACACTGTAACAATGAAACCTCCAAATATCTTCTTTTTTTTTTTTTTAAATATCTGTAAAATATATATTTTTAGTTTTTTCATTGTCTGTGAAGGGGAAATGTGTCATGAATGTGAGATGACCTGTTATTGTGTGTGTTCTCTCCCTCTCGGTCAGCTGTTGCGCATTGACTACTATAACCTGACCAAGTTCTACGGGACGGTGAAGTTCGACTGTGGCGTGTTTGGGGTGTTTGAGTTCTGCGAGAGAGGATCACTGCGGGTAAAAGCGTCTCACACTCATAAATCACAGGACAAGCAATCCCATTATCATCATCATCACATGACTCTTGTGTGTGTTTGTTCCTTCAGTGTGTGCTCAACGATAAGATCTCGTATCCCGACGAGAGCTTTATGGATCTGGAGTTCAAGATCTCCGTCATGTACGATATCGCAAAGGTGAGTCTGTGTGTGTGTGTGTGTGTGTGAGAGAGAGAGAGAGAGAGTGTTTCATCATGTACACACACAGTAGACGCTGTTTTTTACTGCTCTGTCTATTAAAATGTACTTTACACTCGTTGATGGTTTTATGATGGATCACGATGGAAACATAAACCTCCTCACGTCATGAATGACACGAGTGCAGATCTCTGAATGTGTGTGTGTGTGTGTGTTTGTGTGTACACTGTAAAAAGAAAAGGTGCCTGGAGGAACCTTTTGGGGTTCTTCACTTTGCCACGCCGGCGGAACCGTCTGTAGATCCTCTAGGAACCCTTTAAAAAAAGGGACAGTTCTCTGAGGAACCACCCAGGTTTCCTGAGGAACTCTTATATTAGGCACTGCATGGAACCGCTTTGGGTGCTTCCAGGAACCAATTTTTATTTATTTATTTATTATTATTATTTCATGTTGTTACTATGGTTAGCATTAACTTCTATTATTATAAACAAACTGAACCAAATACAAGGTAAGAATTGTTTATTAAATTTTAGATCCATTTTAATACATACACTTCCATGCACTCGGGAAAAGAAGCTAGTAATAGATTAATATCACTGAATAGAATACACAAACAAATAGTATAATACATACTGTAAGCAACATGAATAATCAACAATGTACAGTATATACAATAGGGTATACAAGAAAAGGGTATACATCTCAACAAAATGCATGGAAACACATCACATTAATAAAAAACAAAAAAACAATTAAGTTAAGTTGTGTCAATGGACTTTTTTTGCCTGTGTAATTTCACAAATTTGACCGCACCTTTACTTGCTGAAACATAAAATGCAATCATTAATAAAATCTTAACAAGGGACATGTGAGGTTAACGAGTTAGAACAGTACAATTTTCCGTTTGTTTTTCCTCTTTACTGGTGGATGGTCCAGGCACTTCTATGATTTTCAGGTCTACAGGAGGATTATTTTTCTTGTTCAAACTTGTATTTCAGCTTACCGAGGTGCCTGCAAAGAACCAAAATTACTGTCAGCAGTGTTATTAAAGTGATAGTTGTGAACTGAAAATAATTTCCTTGTGACATTCCGAACCTGTTAGACTTTCTGTCGGTGGAACCCAAAAGCAGATCTCAGGCGTAATGCAACCACAGTCATCATTCAGTTACACTGCAGGAGACAAGCAGAACAAAACTGTGTAAATCATTCATGAAACCATTCTTATGTACACTTGTTTAGTTCAATTCAATGCAACAATTTATGTAAAAATGCTTAAATATTGTGTTAATCTCCAAAAATGTCACAGAAAAGATCATAAAAATATGAAAAATTAAATTGAAAATTGGTCCACAACTCATGTGTTATGAGTTGTGTTGCAAGTCTTCTGAAGCCATATAATAGCCTTTGTTTTTTTGTCTAAAAAGACTACACTTCGATTTTTTTTTATATTCAAATGCAAATGATTAAAGGGGAAATGAAGCAGTGAATCAAGTTTAAATGATTTACAAGATGGATTTCCAATATAATCAACAATTATATAAGAAACATTACAAATGTAAACATTTAGAAGAAAAAAGGAAAAAACTTTGTATCTTTCGCCGCCAGGGTGCCGCCATTGTGCAGTTGACGTCATGGGGTTGGTTGGCTCAAGTTTAACAGGCTCTGGGCACTGAAAATCGCGACATCAAACTGTGTTTACACCAGTGTTTTGACCGCGAACGACTAATGTTAAGTACAGTCATTAGACAAAAAGACGACGTCTCATGTTATATGTTGACAAACTGCACATAGAAACATTGTTCGCGATGTTTGCCGTCAGATATTCCCGTCTCGTCAACATGTAAGTTAGCATGTAACGTTATTTGTTAAAGAGGAAATGAAACGTCCATATTTTCGCAGTGGTAGTGCTAGTAGCTACAGCCTACATACTAGGAAAAAGTGTCTCCGCTCTGACATCCTTCAGGGAAAGCATCGCCGCTTCCACACGTCTACCTCCCGGCACAGCATGGTAAACGTGCGCGCCGGTGATGCAGAATTGACCACGCAACACATGCTCAAGATCAACCTCTTGACAACAGATGGACTCTTACACGGAGGGCATCGAAGTAACGCTACAACAGCCACACTGACACCTGGTTAGTTAGCGTTGCAAACCCGCTCTTCGCCCCAAACCACCACCGGCTGTTCTACATAGCAACGTAACTTAACGTTACATGGTGTTGACGAGACGGGAATATGACGGCAGACAAGACATCGCGAACAATGTTTCTATGTGCAGTTTGTCAACATATAACATTAGACGTCGTCTTTTTGTCTAATGACTGTACCTAACATTAGTCGTTTGCGGTCAAAACACTGGTGTAAACACAGTTTGATGTCGCGATTTTCAATGCCCAGAGCCTGTTAAACTTGAGCCAACCAACTCCGTGACGTCAACTGCACAATGGCGGCACCCTGGCGGCGAAAGATGCAAAGTTTTTTCTTTTTTTCTTCTAAATGTTTACATTTGTAATGTTTCTTATATAATTGTTGATTATATTGGAAATCCATCTTGTAAATCATGTAAACTTGATTCACTGCTTCATTTCCCCTTTAAGGAACTGTATAAGAAAAAATGTATATAGAATTATTGGAGCCAAATCGGTGATGTAATTTTTCTGAGTGACATGAATGAGATTTAAGAGCCTGAAGGAATAGTTTCATAGAATAACTGATTAAAAAACACAAGTACACAGTCAAACAAAACAAATTCACACAGAAAAGTTCATAGTAATAAAGTACTTGTAGTGTGGTGCCGGTAACTTCCTCCTGTAATTCAATGTAGCCTCTGAAATGTTCAGATGATTTTAGAAATGCAGTGGTTCTTCTGAGGAAACAAAAGAACAAAGTTGATTATATCCATTCACAACATAATAATTATTGGCCAGTAAAGGGCTTTAAAATGTTTTTGAAAGAAATAGGGCACATGTAGTAGGCTAGCAGCTAAATAAACAAAAACAGACCAAACTAACGCCTATCCACTTGTTATTCATAACGCAAATGACGACAGTCGACAGCAGGAATTAGCTATTAATACGTTCAGCAATTTGAAGACACAGTTGTACAGAATACATTTAAGTGAATGACTAAAACAATCTAAGACAATAAGTCAATGATTTTCATTAATTCTTTAACGTTAGATTAGTTAGCGTCGCGGCTCAAACCTTCATACCACATAGGCTACTGTACAATAAACGAGTGGTAAACTCTGTAAGAACGCGTGTTTTAGTTTATATATGTATGTTTTGAATATATAGTGAATAGACTCAGTATTTATATTTCTTTGGCGAGTTTACAAACCTTGTAACGGAGAGCCGAACAAACAGCTGAAGCTTTGATGAGAGGAGCCGTTACTTTCAAATCCGACGACGATCCGCTGATCTGTGTTGCGCGCGACGCGCGAGCAGCGCGAGGTTCACTGAAGCGATAACAGCAGATGAATAGCAGCAGTTTCGTTACAGAATAAAACTGTTCTCTTCCTGCTTCTTCTTCTTCTTCTTCTTCTTCTTCTTCTTCTTCTTCTTCATATTATCATTATAATTATTATTAGACATACTTACTATTTTTTGTCGTTGTTTAAGTTTTAAATGAATCAATAAAATAGGCAAATGCTAATTAAATGCAAGTATACTAGCTGCATCAGAAATATAATTTTCGAAATATATATATATATATATATATATATATATATATATATATATATATACAGTATATATATATATATATATATATATATATTATATTATTATATTATTATTATTATTATTATTATTATTTTAATAATGGTATTATATAATAGTATTATTATAGGATAATAATTGTATTCTGGACTCACAGAACTATTAGGTTCCTCCAGATGCTGACTTTAACATAAGAGATCTTCCAGGAACCATTTATATGTTAAAAGATCTTACAATAACCCTTTTATAGCATTCAAGTTCCTCTAATTTCCCCCAAAGCACTTCGAGGTCTCATGGTAGTGAAAAGGTACCTCCAGAACCTCTGAAATTTAATACAAAGTGCTTCAAGGATCCCATAAGTTCCAGCAAGAACCGCTAAGATTGTCAATGCTCCTCCAGTAACCCCAACTCTATGAGAAAGAGCTTTGAGGCACTTAAATTGTGTTTTTAGGTTCCTTGAGTATCCGACGGGATATTTGAGGCACCTTTAGTTTTTACAGTGTACTGTATATAAAACAAAAAAGTAAAAGACATTTTCATTACCTAAATTAAAATAAACATGAACTAAAATTTATTAAAAAAAAAAAACATTAAAAAAAATTCATCTTATTTAATTTGTTTCAATAGTTTAAGAACACACTCACATAACGAGAACATTTCGTATTTTTGTTTTATTTTTTATTTTTTTCATTCATTTATTTTTTTCTATTCTATTAATTTCGAGAAACAAAATGATCTCCCTTCCATGTCTTCTTTAAAATTACGTTTGTCCACGATCATGTTTCATTAGAATTAATAAAAATGTTGCCGGCCAACTTGCCAAGTGCAAGTGTTCATTTTAGACCCTGTATATATACAGTATATACATACACACACTCATATATTCACTCACCTAAAGGGTTATTATTAGGAACACCTGTTCAATTTCTCATTAATGCAATGATCTAATCAACCAATCACATGGCAGTTGCTTCAATGCGTTAAGTGGTGTGGTCCTGGTCAAGACAATCTCCTGAACTCCAAACTGAATGTCAGAATGGGAAAGAAAGGTGATTTAAGCAATTTTGATCGTGGCATGATTGTTGGTGCCAGACGGGCCGGTCTGAGTATTTCACAATCTGCTCAGTTACTGGGATTTTCACACACAACCATTTCTAGGGTTTACAAAGAATGGTGTGAAAAGGGAAACACATCCAGTATGCGGCAGTCCTGTGGGCGAAAATGCCTTGTTGATGCTAGAGGTCAGAGGAGAATGGGTCGACTGATTCAAGCTGATAGAAGAGCCACTTTGACTGAAATAACCACTCGTTACAACCGAGGTATGCGGCAAAGCATTTGTGAAGCCACAACACGCACAACCTTGAGGCGGATGGGCTACAATATCAGAAGACACCACCACTCATCTCCACAAGAGCTCACCAAAATTGGACAGTTGAAGACTGGAAAGATGTTGCCTGGTCTGATGAGTCTCGATTTCTGTTGAGACATTCAGATGGTAGAGTCAGAATTTGGCGTAAACCGAATGAGAACATGGATCCATCATGCCTTGTTACCACTGTGCAGGCTGGTGGTGGTGGTGTAATGGTGTGGGGGATGTTTACTTGGCACACTTTAGGCCCCTTAGTGCCAATTGGGCATCGTTTAAATGCCACGGCCTACCTGAACATTGTTTCTGACCATGTCCATCCCTTTATGGCCACCATGTACCCATACTCTGATGGCTACTTCCAGCAGGATAATGCACCATGTCACAAAGCTCGAATCATTTCAAATTGGTTTCATGAACATGACAATGAGTTGACTGTACTAAAATGCTAAGAATGCTTTCAGCCCCTTGTTAAATCAATGCCACGTAGAATTAAGGCAGTTCTGATGGCAAAAGGGGGTCAAGCACAGTATTAGTATGGTGTTCCTAATAATCCTTTAGTTGAGTGTATATATGTGTGCTATTTAGAGTACAAATCAGTGTGAGCGTCTCAAAGTATAAGGAAACATTTTTAATTTTCAGAAACATAATAATGATTATAAGATGCATAATCAAAGTTTGGACGCCGTCATTATTTCTGTGCTTCTGTTTTGACCATTGCCCTGCTGACATCATCACGTGTGTGTGTGTGTGTGTGGTGTCAGGGCATGTCGTACCTGCACTCCAGTAACGTCAGCGTTCATGGCCGTCTGAAATCCACCAATTGTGTGGTGGACAATCGCATGGTGGTGAAAATCACCGACTTCGGCTGCAACACCATCCTCACGCCCAGGAAAGGTCTGCGACATCACTTCCTGTTCCTCTACTGACATAATACACAAGCATACAACAATAGACACCCACATTAGAGAGGACCTATTCTGCTTTTTTTACATGTTCATATTTCTTTAGTGAGTAATGTTGCTGTTTAAGCATGAAAAAGCTCTATATCAGTTTTTCTGAACTCCTGAAACGCCTCCATTTTAGTCTTGAGTTTCTTCCGGGAACAAACACGCCACAATACTCCTCATTATAATGGTATGGTAATTAGGTTATGGTAATTAGGGGCGGGACATTTCCCAAACACGCTTGAAGCACTTGTGCAATCACAACACACTAATCCAGCCGACCAGTCAGAGCACAGTGTGCTTTTCAGAAGGAGGGGCTTCATAGAGATGGGAACTAAACAGAACATTACTGACAGACTGGGAAGAGAGGAGCCGCAACAATTGAGAATGAGGAAAATAATCAGGAAAACCTGATCTAGTAGAGCTAAAAACATCATCACGACTTTGTAAAAGGGCAGAATATGGGCTCTTTAACAAAAAGCTGCTGTTCAGACAGTTTGTGGAGTGTCAGTTTCACATTCAGAGTCTCTATAAATCATTGGAAACTTGTCAGGAAAATAACTAAAGTGCTTCTCTGTGACAGACCTGTGGACGGCGCCGGAGCACATGCGTGTTCAGGGAATCTCTCAGAAGGGCGACGTCTACAGTTTCGCAATCATCTCGCAGGAGATCATCCTGAGGAAGAGCCCTTTTTACACCAGCTGCTGCTGCGACATGGCAGGTACAAACACACACCAGAGACGGGTCGATTATCTGACACATGTCAGGTCAAGTCAAGTCACATTTATTTATATAGCGCTTTTCACAATACAGATTGTATCAAAGCAGCTTCACACTGATAACATGAAAGTAGCACAACACAGATCAACAACATTTCTAAACACTAAATAACCCCAACTGAGCAAGCTCAAAGCAAGCCAAAAGCAAGGCGACAGTGGCAAGGAACCAAACTCCATCAGATTGGATGGAGAAAAAACCTTGGGAGAACCCAGGCTCAGTCGGGGGCCAGTTCTCCTCTGGCTTACATACATATTGTTTAAATATAAATATTAAATATAAATATTGTTTATGAATCAAACGGCGCCATAACATATCGCAGGCGTTGAGTCGTCTCTTCACAGGCGTTGAGTCGTCTCATCACAGGCGTTGAGGCATCCGAAATCCCCGTGAGAGGCTAGACACAAAACTGGACCTGACGAACGCCATTTTTCTCGGGACAAGCGTCCCGAGATAACAGCAGAAAGGCAGATGGGAAATAATTAGCATAGCTGATGTTCATAATGATTTCCGTTATAACTCACAAACTCTCCGTAACCTGAACTCTCCGCAACCCAACCATACGCGCCGACCCGTTTGTCTAAGAGGCTGTCGAGCCCCACTGGTGCGTTAAGCAGTTTCAGTGGCAAACGGTTCCGTATGGCATAACAGAGGACTAGAAGGTAAGCATTATGTGAATGCTTGACTAAAGAGAAGCGTCTTTAATCTAGTTTTAAACTGTGTCAGCGAGTCAGAGGCTCGGACCGTATCGGGAAGGCCATTCCAGAGTTTTGGAGCTAAATGCGAGAACGCCCTCCCTCCTTTACTGGACTTCGATATCCTAGGAATGACATGTGGAGAATACATATTGTGCAAAGCGTCTTACTTACGAAAGCGTCTTCCGAAGTTTGTTCCTTGGGAATCGAACCCATGACCATCGCGTTGTTCTTGTTAAAAAAGTTTATAATAATAATAATTAAAATAAATAAAAATTTTGTTTATATACATAAATATATGCATACATATAATATTTTACATTTATATTAAGGTGAGTAAAGAGAATTAAGTATATTTATTTTTATTAACATATTTTAAATAGTTCACATATAATAAACTAATAAAATGTAAAATCATTTAAACTAATAAATTGTTAAACGTAAAAAATTTTAGGTGAAAGGGGTTCGGCTTGCAAAAACTTTTCATAAAGAAACATTTGATGAGCTCATCTGATCTATAAAACACTGTTTCTCACTATTTGTTTTCTGTTTGTGCTATTCGTCTTTTCTCTTCTAGAGAAAATCTATCGCGTTCAGTGTCCGCGGGGTCCGAACGTCTTCCGACCGGATCTGAGCTTTGAGTCCGTTGGAGAAACTGAAGCTGAGGTACCGTTACCACAGACATTCTAAGAATGGGAGAAACTGAAACACACAAATATTGCAGCTCTAGCAAAGGAAGCCCCGCCTTCCAAATTAAACAGCCAATCGTGTCACTGCGGCTGTTGTTCGAAGCACCCGTTACTATAACAGGTTGTTTTTGTTCTTCCTTAGGGGAAAAAAGCAGTTTAAAAAATAACCTGCCTGATGCTGTCCACACTGGACAGCAACGTTTAGATGAATATTTAATAACACAAAATCGCAATAACAAAATTATTTAAATTAAATTAGAATTTTTTTTGTATAGCGCTTTTCACAATACACATCGTTTCAAAGCAGCTTTACAGAAAATGGAAGAGTCTACAGAGTCTATAATCAGAGGAAACTGTTATGCATTTCAGAAATGTACATATACAAAATCAGTTAGCTAAAAATGTATTCATTTAAACACAACAAAATGACAGCGGTGAGAAAACGGCAGTAAAGAAAGCATCTCCTCATAGCGATGTATGAAAAAAAAAACAACGTCAGTGTCGCTTTCGATTAGAATTACAAGCTCATTTTCTACTTTATAGCAGCTCTCCAGTATGTTTTTACTCATGTCTGACCTCGACGGACTGAACAGAAGAAAATAACAGAAAAAGATTTACACCTCAAAGAAGGCGGAGCCTCAGAGCCACACCCACCTATTACATCATCACCATGTACCAATGGGAGTTTTGAAGGTGTTTACCATCAGGAGCAAACTTTTCCGGAAAGTTCACACTGGAACTGTTTCGAACTTCTCAAACGAACTGCAAAATTGTTTTGGCCTGATTTTGTTCGAAACGACGTCACATCAGTTCGTTCTTCGATTTCCTTTGACGCATATCAGCGGTTTTGGGACTGCCCTCGTGCATTGGCTGGACAAAAAAAAAAAAAAACTACATTTATAAAATAGTTCATGTAAAATTTTATTGCTGATTTAAAATATGTTATTGAAATGGGAAATATACATATATATATATATATATATATATATTTAAATGTAAACAGCACATATTTTTGTAGCTGTTCGTGCTGATCAAGAGCTGCTGGGAGGAGGATCCAGAGAAACGTCCGGAGTTCAAGCGGATCGAGGGCGCTCTGGGGAAGATCTTCAGGTGCGTGAGTGACGCCGCTCGTGTTTCATCCGAGTCGTGAGCACATGCTGATGTGCTGGTGTGTGTTTCTGCAGTAACTTTCATAACCAGGCCAACGCCAGCTACATGGACAACCTGATCCGCCGGCTGCAGATGTACTCCCGGAACCTGGAGCACCTGGTGGAGGAGAGAACGGCCCTGTACAAGGCCGAGAGAGACCGAGCCGATCAGCTCAACTTCATGCTGCTGCCGGGGTCAGACACACACACACACACACACAACACACACTTCATGTACAGCTAAATCCCACTGAGAACACCCAAGCAACTGCTTAGCAACACCCTTGCAACTGCCTAGCAAACACATAGCAATGCCCTAGCAAAGCCAAAGTGATGCTCTAGTAACTGCCTAGCAACACCCCAGCAACCACCCAGAACACCCTAGCAACTGCATAGCAACCACATAGCAATGCCCTAGCAAAGTCATAGTGATGCCTTAGTGACTGCTTAGCAACACCCTAGCAACCACATAGCAATGCATTAGCAACACTTTTGCAACCACCCAGATTATCCTAGCAACACATTGCCAATTGCCCAGGATATTCTAGCTACTCCCTAGCAATCATAAAGCAATTCCTTAGCAAGAATCACATAGCGATGCCCTAGAATCTGCCTAAAAAACATCCTAGTAATCACCCATGACAACCTGCATGTACTACAACTGCCTTGCAACAAATATATCAATGTCTGAAGAACTGCTCAGCAATCTCATAGCGACTTCCTAGCAATACCATGGCAATCCTAGCAACACCCTAGCTCCCTTCTAGCAACAAACCTTAGAGTGAAGTCGTCGCACTTGCCTAGCAACTGCATAGTAATGCCCTAGCACCTCCTAGAAAATGCATAGTGATGCCCTAGCAACTGCTTAGCAACACCCTAGCAACCACCCATCACATGATGTCTTAAAAACTGCCCAGCAACCTCATGCCCTATCAACCACATAGCGATGCCATAGTAACCTATGAACAAGCTACAAAATCACAGTTAGCAAAATATTTATTACTAATTTAAGGCAGAAACAATCAATACTTGTTTGTTTACAAATGATTATGGCATTTAGAAAAATGCAGCACTGGTGCATGTTGATTCAGAGTTTGGGTCATTTTAAGTGATATAGTGATGCCGTAGTAACTGCCTAGCAACATGCTAGTAACCACACAGGTCATCCTAACAACTGTCTAACATGCCCTAGCAACTGCCTAGCAACCACATAGCAATGCCCTAACAGCTACTTAGGACTCTCTAGCTAACACATAGCAGCTGGGCGAGCAGCAGAAGTGACCCTGATGTGACGTGATAAAGCGATAAAGCTCTCTCACACAGGCCAGTGGTGCGCTCTCTGAAGGAGACGGGGCGCGTGGAGCCCGAGCTGTACGACGAGGTCACCATCTACTTCAGCGACATTGTGTGCTTCACCACGCTCTGCCACCACAGCACACCCATGGAGGTGGTGGACATGCTCAACGACATCTACAAGAACTTCGACAGCATCCTCGACCACCACGACGTCTACAAGGTGCTCCCAGAGAACTGTCACACGCTTTTAATGAATTATTATTTAAAGAAATATACAGTTAGACCAAAGTTTATTCCGACACCTTCAACATTTCTCACAAATTGGAATGATTTAAAAAAGTTTTTGTTTTAATATAATAATAAAAAAGAAAAAAAAAGAAATGAAAGGCAGAATGTGATTAAATATTGGTGTTCAGGTGGAGACCATCGGTGACGCGTACATGGTGGCGTCCGGTCTGCCGAAGCGCAACGGGAACAGACACGCGGTGGACATCTGTCTCATGGCTCTGGACATCCTGGAGTTCTTGGGGACCTTCCAGCTCAGACACCTGCCGGAAATCCCTCTGTGGATCCGTATCGGGATCCACTCAGGTACAGACAAACCGGAAGATGATGTACTTACCTGAAATCATTCTTGTATTATCCTATGGCAGCGACACCTACTGGTCAAAATGCATAAATCAGCCAAAAATCATCAAGTTTTATCCATTTGGATGAGCTCAACCATTCATCTTTCTGCTCTTTTAAACCAATTTGCAAATCTTATCTTAGACATTTTGGTAAATAGACATGATATTGCACGATTAGTGTAATAACGAACTTACTCTTACTAGTCGTGTGTGTGTGTGTAGGTCCATGTGCGGCAGGTGTGGTGGGTAATAAGATGCCACGTTACTGTCTGTTTGGAGATACGGTCAACACGGCGTCACGTATGGAGTCTACGGGCCTGCGTAAGACACAAACACACACATTCACATATACTCACATATAACAACACACTCTTCGGAGAAGCAGCTCTGATGTTTTTTCCAGCTCTGAGGATTCACGTGAGCGAGTCGACCATCCAGATCCTGCACCGGACCGACTGTCAGTTTGAGTGCGAGCGTCGCGGAGAAACACACCTGAAGGTGAGAGGAGAGATGTCAGCCAATCACAGGTTCTTATTTAAGCTTCTAGCCAATGGCAGGCTCTCATTTCAGCTTATGTCTAATCTCTGGCCTTTATTTCAGATTCTGTCCAATCATAGGCTCTTATTTTAGCTCCTGTCCAAACACAGTCCTCTTATTTCATCTCCTGTCCAATCACAGGCTCTTATTTCATCTTATATCCAATCGCAGGCTCTTATTTCAGCTTCTGTCCAATTGCAGGCTCTTATTTTAGGTCCTGTCTAATCACAGGCTCTTATTTCAGCTTCTAGCCAATGGCAGGTTCTCATTTCAGCTTATGTCTAATCTCTGGCCTTTATTTCAGATTCTGTCCAATCACAGGCTCTTATTTTAGCTCCTGTCCAATCGCAGGCTCTTATTTCAGCTTCCGTCCAATCACAGGCTTTTATTTCATCTCCTGTCCAATCACAGGCTCTTATTTCAGCTTCTGTCCAATCGCAGGCTCTTATTTTAGCTCCTGTCCAATCGCAGGCTCTTATTTCAGCTTCCGTCCAATCACAGGCTTTTATTTCATCTCCTGTCCAATCACAGGCTCTTATTTCAGCTTCTGTCCAATCGCAGGCTTTTATTTCAGCTTCCGTCCAATCACAGGCTCTTATTTCAGCTTCAGTCCAATCGCAGGCTCTTATTTCAGCTTCCGTCCAATCGCAGACTCTTATTTCAGCTTCTGTCCAATCGTAGGTTCTTATTTCAGCTTCCATCCAATCACAGGCTCTTATTTCAGCTTCCGTCCAATCGCAGGCTCTTATTTCAGCTTCAATTCAATCGTAGGTTCTTATTCCAGCTTCCGTCCAATCGCAGGCTCTTATTTCATCTTCCGTCCAATCGCAGGCTCTTATTTCAGCTTCGGTCCAATCGCAGACTCTTATTTCAGCTTCTGTCCAATCGTAGGTTCTTATTTCAGCTTCCGTCCAATCGCAGGCTCTTATTTCAGCTTCCGTCTAATCGCAGGCTTATTTCAGCTTCAGTCCAATCGTAGGTTCTTATTCCAGCTTCCGTCCAATCACAGGCTCTTATTTCAGCTTCCGTCCAATCACAGGCTCTTATTTCAGCTTCTGTCCAATCGCAGGCTCTTATTTCATCTTCCGTCCAATCGCAGGCTCTTATTTCAGCTTCAGTCCAATCGCAGGCTCTTATTTCATCTTCGGTCCAATCGCAGGCTCTTATTTCAGCTTCGGTCCAATCGCAGACTCTTATTTCAGCTTCGGTCCAATCGTAGGTTCTTATTTCAGCTTCCGTCCAATCGCAGGCTCTTATTCCAGCTTCCGTCCAATCGCAGGCTCTTATTTTAGCTTCGGTCCAATCGCAGACTCTTATTTCAGCTTCCGTCCAATCGTAGGTCCTTATTTCAGCTTCCGTCCAATCGCAGGTTCTTATTCCAGCTTCCGTCCAATCGCAGGCTCTTATTCCAGCTTCCGTCCAATCGTAGGTTCTTCTTTCAGCTTCGGTCCAATCGCAGACTCTTATTTCAGCTTCTGTCCAATCGTAGGTTCTTATTTCAGCTTCCGTCCAATCGTAGGTTCTTCTTTCAGCTTCGGTCCAATCGCAGGCTCTTATTTCAGCTTCCGTCCAATCGTAGGTTCTTATTTCAGCTTCCGTCCAATCGTAGGTTCTTATTTCAGCTTCCGTCCAATCGCAGGTTCTTATTCCAGCTTCCGTCCAATCGCAGGCTCTTATTCCAGCTTCCGTCCAATCGTAGGTTCTTCTTTCAGCTTCGGTCCAATCGCAGGCTCTTATTTCAGCTTCCGTCCAATCGTAGGTTCTTATTTCAGTTTCCGTCCAATCGCAGGCTCTTATTTCAGCTTCCGTCCAATTGTAGACTGTTGAAGAGAAGTTCACAGTCACAGCAGAGACTCACAATGTGTGTGTGTGTGTGTGTGTGTGTGTGTGTGTTTCAGGGTAAAGGGAAGGAGATGACTTACTGGTTGACTGGAGTTACTGGGCAGAAATACAACCTGCCGACACCACCAACAGCGTAAGACCACCAACACTTTTGTCCTGTAATAATAAAATACTCCCAGAATACAACAGAAAAAACATGTTACACATGCACAATTTATCATCAGAACGACATATGGACAAAATTCACTGTTGTTGCTTTTATACAACAGTTCAGTAAACAAAACATGGAGTTACTTGCATTTCACCACTGACTGACACAGTGATCCACCAATCAGATTCCAGGACTGCTGTATAACAGGGTTCCCAAACGTGTTAATGCCAAAGACCCCCAAATATTTTGAACCCCTTGCAAGGAACCCCCTTACTAAATGTAGACAATGAAATAATTGTCTTTTGCAGTTAAAATGTATATTAGAGTTCCTCTATTAGAGTCATGTTAGATGTATAAACTTGAAGAAAAATTCAGATTTATTTATGTGTTTATTAATGTGTCTTTCACAAAAAAATATAATGTAGAGGTAAAAAAAGATTGAAAATATCTAATGTTTCATTTTATCATTTTTTTTGTATTGTTTGAAATACTTTATTATATTATAATAGTATATATTAATATATAGTAATAATAATAATAATAATATAATAATAGAATTGTATAATTCCCTGCTGTTTAAGATCATCAACATCACTGATGCTCTCTCTCTCTCACACACACACACACACACACACACGTTGAACCTTTCTGTCTTTTGATCTGCAGAGAGAACTTCCAGCGTCTGCAACAGGATCTGGCCGAGAGGATCGTCTCCACGCTGGAAAAACCCGGGAACGAGCTGCGGAAAACACTCTCTACACGCCAGCGGCGATCACACACACACGCTCACACTCACAGCAGCGACAGTCAGCCTGAATACCTGCACCTGACCGACCCCACAGCACACCTGTAGAGAAAACACACACTTACTCTCACACACACACAACGACCAACCCGAATACCTGCACCTGACCGACCTCACAACATATTTGTAGATAACACACACACTCACACGACGACCAGCCCGAATACCTGCACCTGTCCGACCCCACAACATATGTGTAGATAACACACTCACAAACTCACACCTATAGTACATATACACACACACACAGCAGCGACGGCCATTCCGAATACCTGCACCCGACCGACCCCTCAACACACCTGTAGAGAACACACACACCTGTTAATACATAATTCAACACCAATTAATACATAATTTAGCTATGAAGTGTTGCTCATTATGTTTCAGTGTTCATAAAAACCACTTTGATTTATTTAATCCTTTAATCATTCTGAAACGGCTGATTTTAAAATGAATGATGTATGTAATGTACAATATGACTTCATAATTGTTTCTTACTCATAGACAATAAGACAACAAACTGTGTTTTATTCAGATGGTTTTATTAACAAAACCTGCTTATTAATAAACGAACAGAGGGGGAAAAAAACCCATTCCTCTTATTTTATGCGTTTAACAGACAATAGAGGAACATAAGCAATTAGTCACAGAGCCAAATACATGTTTATGAACAAATATGACTCTCATCAGTGTGCTGGAAATCTCCCATAATATACACAAATTAAAATATACATCTTTAAAAAAAAAAAAGTGACGATGACCCGGTTTCCAGGTGAAGTTCTCTGAAGCCAGACGAGATCTTACAGCTGAGATCCAGGTTTGATTTAATGTGTTCTGCAGTTTGACGTGAATATGAATACAAACTGGATTATATCAAAGGCTGGACTGGTAGGAATGAGTTCTGTTGCTCAGACTTCAACAGGTTGTCCAGTTTTGGCGGTGACGAGGGCGGAGTCTCCCAGTTCGGTTGCAGGAAGTGGCAGCCCATGCTCCGCCCACCCGTTGCACAGGCCCCGCCCACAGGACCCTGCGCTGACTGGCACTTCCAGTGTCTGGCCGTTGGGATGCAGCCAGTGGGCTTCCTCTTCCTGTTCTACGGTTGTCGGGGTGTGAGGTGTAGCGTCCTTTTCACCTGCTGGACAGAAAAACAACACTGACTAGCGAGCGAGTTAGAACTAACAGCTGATTTATACTGTGGCTAAGTAGATTTCCCCAAGAGAAGTCCTCACTATTACAAGACTTAAGTGTTGTGGGTGGTTGCTGGGGTGTTGCTATGCAGCTCTAAAGTGTACCAAGTGGTTTTCGGGGTGTGTTGTCATGTGTTCCGAGTGTTTTTAATGCGTGTTGCTATGCAGTTGTTAAGGTGTTCTAGTGTTACAGGTTCCATCACTATCAGCACTAGTAATAGCTTTGGGTGACTAAGTACTAAAAGTGGATATTTGTCATCTCTCAGTGTTATTTCTCAGAGGGATAAAGGTTTGCATAACACTCAGACAGGTTTGGCTTCACTGGTTTAAAACTGTTGTGTTCTTATGAATCATGGTGCATTATGATTCAGAAAACACAACATATTTCACACCTGATCTCACTGATGACGGTGTGCTCTGATCATACAGGCGTTTATTAAAAAGCCGGAAGCTGGGTTAAGGAATTGACAAAAGACAAGGTTTTGAGGCCTAACTTTCTATAAATGCATCTCTCATATATTCCTATTTAAAAAAATGTACAAAAAATTTATTTTCAAGAGGTATCAAGAAGCACTGTAGTGAAAGTAGAAATTTATGTTGTTTTTCTTTGTTTGTTTGCTCTGTCATTTTTAGTTGTACTTTTTATTTTATTTTATTTTTTATGTTTTGCTGCTTGTAGCCTATATATCTGTATGGATGTATAGAACAACATGATAATAATAATATAAAATTGTAAATGTATGACTGTAAGAATTTAAGGGGTAGGAGTATATAAGTTTTACTTCTTCCTATTCGCACATATAATAGAAGTATGTCAACAGCAAAGAATTATAGGCCTACATATATATTTTTGCGGCTCATTTGTTTTGATTTTTCCTACGTTTTTTAAATATGGCTTTATTTTATATACTTTCTTTTTATGCTCGAAATAAAGATTTCAAATTCAAATTCTCATGCGCAAGAGGAGCGTGTTAAAAGGTTAATCTACAGTTGTGAGTCCCTCATATTCGCCATTATAATCACATATAAACACTGAACTCTCTGAGCTCCCGCTCGAGTCTAAAAAGGGGTTAAATTTAGCTCACGAGTGCCGTTGGGTTCTTCCGCTGGTTTAAGAGCTGCGTTCTGCGTCCTGAGGTAAAGGATGCAAGCGTGTGTGTGTATAAGAGATGAAGACGTGAGATGGGACAGTCCCCAAAGACCCCTCACCACCCTCCTGACCCCACGAGAGGAACAGAAACTAACTGGAGTGTGTGCGTGAGGTTTCGTTGGGTAGAAACTCCTTTATTGGAGCTCTTGGGCCGTTCACACAGAACACGCTTTTGCATTTCAAACACGCTTTTTGCTTGTCCTTTGTTTTTATCAACGCATGACAAAACGGCGCTATACTACGCACATGGCACCCGTTATCATAATATAACACGCGCTGTGAGGGCTAAGTTTAGGTGTGGGGTAGGGTCTGCGTGTCATATTCACGCTAAAGGATTTATGATGTCTTGGGTTCGCGTGTTATATTAACGATAAAGGGTGCCATGTGCGTAGTATAGCGCCGTTTTGTCATATAGCGTTTTATGTGACGCTAAAGGGGCTGGTTTTTATACATTTCATTTTATTTGAACCTCTTTTAAAGGACAACGTACTCCGGCGCAAAACAAACCTTCGGTACCTAGTCAACCGTTCTCTGAGATTTATTTGCATGATAATCGAATGTAAAGGGTTCTAAAAACTGTTTAGCGTATAACGCTAGTAGCTATATAAGGCAAAGAGGAATGAAAAATAAAAATCGCTAGTTAATACCACTAACAAGGCTCAAAATAGCCCCACACTAACACAGTAACATAATGAGGTTCCCTACATAAAAACCGAAGCATTGAGAACTTTGTAAATGTATAGACAGTTTAATAAGTAGATACTTTATAAAGACAGTCCATTTTGTATAGCTACAGTCAGGAGCCATCTTTGGAAAACAGTCTTGACAAGTCGAACCACAAAGTCAGTGCTAAGTGAAGTATGAAGTTCAGCGAACTTCTGAATTGTATAAAGGGTGTTTGTGGTTTGATTGGTCGAGACTGGTACCTTTAGAAGGTTAAAGATGTCCATAGCGTGTTTACATAGAAAAATGTAATGAAATGGAATGGAAAAAGCTAACTTGAAGTTGGCTCATAAGTATTTGACTGAATTCAAAAGCAATTTTTACCAATTCAGAATATTCTTTTCAAATCGTAGTTAAATTGTATTAGATTTGAAAACAATACATTTAAAGGATGTTTTATTACTTTCTCTAATTACTTTATTTCACCAAAAGTAATTTGAAAAAGCAACATTAAATATACAGTTGACTTCTCAAGTTGAAGAATCTGCAAAATATTAATAATTGTAAAAAAAGAAAAAATTTGTGTACATGTAAACCTTAATGAAAAACAAGACGGCAAAATAATAATTGAATTTTCATGAAAAAAACCCGTTTAAAAGTTGATTCTTAATATTGTCATTATCTGGAGTTTCTTCATCATCAATGAATGTTTGCACTTTAGGTATTAGTTGTGTACGAATCCGTGATATCATGGAAAAACAGTGTTTAACTATTACAACCATCACGAATCATAACAGTCATTAATCATCCAGGTAACACAGAGCATTAAGAATCAACGGTATGTAAACTTTTAAGCCGGGTCTTTTGTGAAAGTTTTATTATTTTTTTGTCGTCTTGTCTACATCTTTTTCAGTGCGGTACTAGGCTACATTAAAACATGAATTTTATGATCCCTCTTCTTGTTCACAAATTGGTACTACACAAACAAGCACATTTTTTTTTAAATAATAATCTGATAGGTTTCGTCTTTAAAAAGAGATTCAGAATTCAGTCTGCGCTCAAGTATTCAAGATTTACAAGTTTAAGCAGAAAATTTCATTTTCAGATCTGTGCTTTAATAGTGAATTAGAGCCCGACCGATAAAGGATTTTGAAGGCCGATACCGATACAAATATTTGATGGTTTTAAAATCCGATATTCCGATATATCGGACGATATTTTTTATTTAATTTCTTTCAGGAACGCACAACAAAACATTAACAGATTTCCCTAACATTAGTTATTTGTAGTTATATACAGTGTTGGGAGTAATGCATTACAAAAGTAATACATTACTGTAACATATTAGTTTTTGCTGTAACGCAGTAGTGTAAGGCATTACTAATCAATTTTCAGTAATATTTTACTCGTTACATGTTCAGTGAGGCTTGTATTACAGTTGTATTACAGTGTATTGTCTGCTTTTACTTCTTAAAGGCAACAGACTGTGTGAAAGTTTTAAAGCAGTCTTTTAGTGCCAGTTCAGAGCGGTCGCGTCTGTAACATTGTTTTTTCCTCATAAATGCGAACACGAAAACTAAAATAAAATGAATATTTTAAGTTCTACGGAGACTGGAGAGCCAACCCTTCCTCATCCGATTTGCGCAGTGTAATTAACAGAATTACAAAAAATATATATTTGCCTCCTATTTTTTTTCACGCATGAATGTGTGTCTTTTCCCTAATATTAAAAATAAAACATAGACTGATATTTGTCTAATGTCTGGAGTCCTTTAAGGAAGTAGCCTATATACGTTTCAATACATGTATTTTCTGAGAATTTTTATTTCAAGTTTTGACTGCAAATGTCATGTCCATAATGCTGGACTTCCCCAATTTTCAATAATTTATCCTCAACTAGTTTTGTGGTTAACTTCAAATGTTAACTTCAAATAATACTAATAGCCTAATTTAAAGATAAGGCAGCATTGGATCTGGACGGTAAGGAGAATAATGCTGGAGTTGGAAGAGGTGTGTCGCGATTCTGTAGGTTCGTGGATCTGAGTCGTGTGGCGAATGGCGATTTCGGTTTCATATTGCATATCGTTACAGCCCCAAAGTTAAGTTCTACTTAGTTATTTTGGTGAAAGTAACTCAAAAGTAATACATGAGTAATGTAACGCATTACAAATCTGAGACAGTAATATTGTAAGGTAATGAATTACTTTTAAATAACAGTAACAAGTAATAGGCTACCTAATGTATTACAGTTTGGAAGTAACTTGCACAACACTGGTTGCCAACAGGGACGGTGTAGAGTGCCCTCTGGTGGACAAACTATACAACTCCAACATGACATGGTTGAAGCGTGTGTCGTCCGTTTTTATTTTTTTTTGAAATATTCATTTATCGGCCAATATAACTGCCGATACCGATAGTTTGGGAAATGCCTGATATCGGCCGATAATATCGGCCTGGCTCTATATATCGGTCTCTATAGTGAATAAATGGATTATAACACTGATCAGCGTAATGGTGACTTCAAATGAAAAACAGAGTTAATTCACCTTTGTGAATTCTCAGTAAAAAACTTTTGTAGACGTTGTGGAGTTGTTTAACCCTCCTCTGCTGAGATCTTCAGATATTTAATGTCTTATTTTATCTTCAGTTGATTTCATCTACGACTGTGTTCAATTCAGCTGTTATTTCTCTTTGAATTTGGAAGGATGGATTCTGATTTGCTGTCAGTGTTTTTATCGTTCATCAGCTGCAGAAGTCAGATATAGTTGTTGTGAATGGGACTTTAGTACCTGTGTTCTGTGAGGTCTTGAGGTGACGTTTGTAGATGATGAACCAGAGCAGCAGCAGCAGAACCGAGCCACTGGCGAGCAGCCCGACACATATCCACACGACGGGGCTGATGGCGAGCCAGGACTGATGCTGACCTGGACCTCTGGTGCTCAACACGGGCGGAGGAAGCGCTACACACACACACACACACACACACCTCAACATACTTGAGCAGCCAAGAAGATTATACCGCAGCAGATTTACTCACCCGACGGCGTCAGTCCCAGAGATTCGTGAGAAATGCATTGTCTGAGCAGAGAATCCCAGCCCAAACCAGAAGCACACAATCTCTTCTCCATCACCGCTGATATAAAACTGAGGAGAACAGAGAGATCATGAGAGGTGAAGGAGAGCATAGCAGCGACGTTTCACTTCTTCATTTGAGACGTCGGAGAGAATGAATCACTGATCGAGTCTCTAGAGACAAAAACACCAGCAGAAGAGAGACGGAGAGAAACGAGAGGAAACTCAACTTTATTTTTAAACAGCATGTTGTTTTCTGCAGTTCTTCAGAACATAGCCTACTAAACAAAAAAAAAATATTATATAAACTGTGGCTCCAAAAAGTGTCAAAATCTGTTCATTTGTTAATGTCTGGATTTGATTAGTCAGATCGAGTGTCTTTATTTGCAGGAGCCTCAAAATGACTGTAGGAGATTAAAAAGTCTTAATTATCAGGTGAAATGACAATTAAATAGTCCTAATATGAGATTATATCTTTTAAAAATAGGAAGGAAATCAAGAAACTTGACAATTTAAATCTTTAAGAATCAATGAAATTAATATACCCTTTAAGAAGTCATGGAAATCAAAATCTTTAAAAATCATTGAAAATTTAAAGTCATGGAAGTTTCTAAAATGAAAGCAAATTGTTTCTCTGAAGTATTTTATCGGGTACAAATTGACATTTTTTAATAAAGAAAAAAAAAAAAAAAACTTAACCATGAATGACTGTTAAAGCTACAGGTCATAAGAGTGTAAATCCTGAAAAAATACAGAAATATAAATAATTTTCAAATAAAACGTTGGAAAATGAGCAGCTTCATTATTATAGCAGAAATATCATCTGGGACAGTCAGAAATGTGTAGAATTAATAAAACAGAAATGTAACCTCTACAAGCAGCAAAGACTGCAAATGTGTGTTTGTGTGTGACATGATCTGCCAAACCTTCACTGCTCTCTCATTGTTGCTTTCAAATTCTGAAAAACAAAAACACTCAACACTGAGAAATGAGGTTTGTGTTTATTCATTGATTGAATCAAAGACAAAAGCACAGATCAGATTACAAAAATCCAGATATGAGGAGATCAGTCACACGGTAATACTAACAGACACGAGTTCCCTGAGAGAAAACATCTTCACACCGGCAAACACGTCAACAAGACATTAGAATTGCTCACACACACTTTGTTTTTCTGCTCGTGTTGTTCGTCAGGACTCAAAACAAACCTTCCTCACTATAAACATGTCATTAAAGACACATTTCTGACATGAGAAAGCAGTCATGCTTCACTAAAGTCATATTTATGACAAAAATAGTCAAAATTAATGTCAAAACTGACAAAAAAAGTCAAATTTATTGCATACTAAGTAACGCGACAAGTCAAAAGAAAAACAACCATACTTCGGTAAATTTATGACACAAATAGGCGAAAAACGACGCCTCATATTGTTGAAATTATGAGATGGTTGACTTACAAGCTGAATAATTTGTCATAATTATAACTATTTACGCCATCCTTTTGACTCATAAATATGACTGTCATAATTTTGACTTTTCATCTCTTTAATATGATTTAGTGTCATAATTTCAATTTAATCCCTAATCATGTCTGTCATAATTTAGATTTATCATCTCAAAAATATACTTTTTAATCTCATAACGATAATTATCATACTGTTGACTTTTCATGAATTTTGACTTTTCTTGTGATAACTATTCTTCGGTAAATCTTAATTATGATAAGTCGTTGTTGACTCACAAACTCATTAATCTGTCATTAGTATGCCTATTTATGCAAATTAATATCATTTTGACTCATAAATATGACTTAGTATGTCAATTTTGACTTTTCATCTCATGAATATTTCTCATAATTTTGATTTTTTTGTGATAACTATGATTAACCAAAGCTTAAATGGGCTTCCATAGTCATAAACACACAGTGTGCACTAATCATCGCGATTAACTTCTTCAATCCATCAATCAAAAGAGGCGTAAAGTCGTGGACTGATTGTCAAAAGAGGGCGGAAGAGTTTAGCGTTCAGAATAACAGCTGATTGGACAGATTGGTGTTAGCAACAGTGAACTCCCATGATCCTCAGGGGCGGAAGAGCTGCGGCTGCATGCTGACGAAGCTGAAGTTGTAGCTGAGAGGAAGACCCTGGTGTGTCGTGCTGTTGAAGGTGTCCCAGGAGAAGACGGGGAGTCCTCCTTCAGTGGTGGGACCGTTCAGCGCCTCCGCCACGAACCCCCGAGCCATGAGCAGATCCGTCACCTGACCAGAGGACAACAGAGAGTCAAGGGCAGAGAACGCAGGAGGTGATTGGCTGAGAGAGTGGGTCAGCTGACCAGAGATGAAGAGAACTCAATCTGATTGGCTGACAGAGTGGGTCAGCTGATCAGAGAGGCAGAGAACGCATGAGCTGATTGGCTGATAGAGTGGGTCAGCTGATCAGAGAACAAGATAACCCAATCTGATTGGCTGATAGAATGTGTAGGCTGACCAGAGAACTCAATCTGATTGGGTGAAGCAGAGAACTCAATCTGATACACTGATGAGAGTGGGTCAGCTGACCTTGGTGTCGTAACATCCTCCAGGACTGGCATGATGCTCACGCAGGTCGTTGCGACAGCAGATGGACTTACACGGGTCGCCCTGCGAGTACGGGTCATTCTTATAATCTGAGGACAAAATGACATCATCGGACAGTGATTGACAGGTACTGAGCTCATTGTGCAAACAGGTGTTTCATTATAATATATGCCTTTTAATGTGTGTTATTTAAATGCTAAAAAAAATATACTTTTTCTTGCAAATTATTATATTTTGGCATTTATATCGAAACTTAAACCAAACAAATTATATTTTAATTGTATTTTACAATTGTGTTAACAATAATAATACTAAGATTAACACAAATTAGCGTATTTATTTAGATTTTTGTAGATATGACTAGGGTTATTATCAGTAAACAAGCACAAAAACATTACAAATTTTGAAATAAAATAAATGTTAAAATTAAAAATGAATATATATATATATATATATATATATATATATATAAATAACTTACAAGATCAATGCATTTTATTTCACTTGTTGCCAAGGCAATATTTGTAATTTTCATTTAGTTTTTAACGTGTAGCAAAATAACTAAAATAAAAATTAATAAAACTATATAAACATACATGTAAAACTACTAAAATGACAACTGCCAATCTTAGCAAAATTAACAAAAACTACAATGAAAATAGGGAATACAAAAAAAGAAATTAAACATTTAAAAAAAAATTATTTTATTTGAGCTAGTTGCTAAAACATATACATACATATATATATATATATATATATATATACACACACACACAAGTGACATCAGGACTCAAAGTCAGCACTTAGACTTCATGTGGTGTAACCGATTGGTTGTTTGGTGGTTGCTATAGTTACCGTTGTATCTCATGATGTGTTTGAGGGTCATAAGGTCGCTCACTGAAGACTGGTCGCGGCGGAAAATCTTGGCGCGAGGGCAAAGGTCATAGGAAAAGTCCTCGCCATAATCCTTCCACATCTGCACGTACCCACTCAGGTCATAGACCTTACGGTGGAACGGCACGTTGTAGGACGGCCAGTAACCTGCAGGACACACACACACACAAGTTTAATACAACATGTAAATAATTTAATAAACAGAGAGCAATGAAACTGAAGCCTGTGTGAGTCTGACCTCTGCGCAGCGTCTGCGTCTGGTCCGAATACTCCACCAGTCCCGGGATCTGCTCGACCACAGTCAGCGCCCCGTCATCCAGACGGCTGCCCAGGATCACTTTACTGGTGTCCACAACCATGTACTGGTTATTATACGTGCCTGAAGGAGAGATGCAGCACTGGATCAGAGCGCTGATTCACATTACACCAGTGACAGAGTCCAGACTGAACACTCACTGAAGCCAAAAACATCAGCTGACCAGTAGCTTTATTAGGAACTGCAACATGACACTTGGGTTAAAGAGTTAAACAGTAAAAATGATAACCTGACCATGGGCATAGGTAACAAAGCAGTAAAATAAAAAAAAAATAAAAAATATATATATATATGATTTATGGAGTAGCAAATAGATATATAGATTTTGTTTTTGGGGTGTAGAATATGTTTTCATGTTTGACTGTTCAAAAATGCATTATTTTTCACAAATTTTACATTACAGCTCCTCTCTCTCCAGTTTGATTGAAAGAGTCGTTTTCGATGAAGCCACTCGTTCCGAAAGATGAAATGTGCTGTGGTTTGTTAGCTGGCCCTGTGTGTTGGGATTGACAGTGCTTCCAGGAAATGTCCTGGCCGTTAATAACTGTGAGTTCTTCTCTAGTGTAATCATTAAGGATGGCGTCAATTTCAAACCAATTCGAACCCGATTCAGACCCTGACAATGTTGACGAACAAGAGCAACATGCAGAACAGATTTCACAGGACGTTTCAGAGTAGATTTTTTTTTGTACTTTTCTTATACATTATAGATTCGATGTTATCCACCAATTACTCGTGATATTTGTTGGAAAACTAAGGTAATACAAACAGTAATCGGTTAATTATCTTAAAGGAACACTCCGACTTGTTGGGACTTTAGCCTATTCACCTTAACCCCCAGAGTTAGATAAGTCCATACATACCTTTTTCATCTCCGTGCGTGCTATAAGTCTGTTTGACGCACCCACCGCTAGCCTTGCTTAGCACAAAGACTGGATGTGAATGGTTGCAGCTTTCATACTAATCCAAATGAGTGGCAAAATAACGCAAACATTTTCCTATTTACATGTTGTGGTTTGTATAGTCACAGAGTGTACAAATAACAAAGTCAAATGAGACACAGACATCCTTTAACCGTATAAAACCTGGGAACTATTCCTCTGAAGGCGAAGCACTGCTACTTTGACGTCCTGATAACCGCATCACCGGAGACACGCCGTGGTGAGGAGCGGAGAGTTCGCTCAGTGTTTGGGTAACAGAGTCAGCAATTTATAAATAGTAAAAGCGTAGTTTAGAGTCATGGGTTTTCGCTCTATTGTAAATAGCTGCGACTGTAAACAGGGGACGTAACCATGTTTCACAGAATTCCAACTAAAAACGCTGACTGGATGAAGAAATGGCTAACTTACTCTGGATATTTATCCAAACACACCTAAGATTATCAAGGGACATTATGTTTGCTCGGTACATTTCAATGGACGACTATTTTGAAAAAATGGAATTTGCCACACGGACTATAATGTGCTGAAGGATACGGCCATCCCATCGATAGCACAGACAGGACAAGTGGATCACCTGCGGCTGAGGTAAGTGTTCCGTTATGTTTTTAGATGACCTACTGTAACAGTGCCATTAGCCAGAGCTAATGTAACGTTAGTGACACTATTATATGATTAGGGTATAAATATGTTTTTATCTTGATGCGGCGCGGACGCGCTTGGAAAAAAAACGAGCGCGTTGAACTTTGCGCGCGGCGCGCCTATAGCCTAAATTTGAAATAACCATGGAAATAACGAACTTGAGCATGCAAAAGGGTACGATAGGCTGTGAGTTCATTGTGCAAAAATAATTTGTGCTGTTACTTTCCCCTTATTCTATCCTATAGTAATGCAATACTGTATATTATATACTGTTGAATACATTTGGTTCAGCTAATAAATTGCATTTAAAATATATTGATTCCTGTAATAATAATTATTTATTCACGTTCTGTGATATTTATAAATCTGGGTGCGTTTTTGGTTGGAATTCAATGAAACATGGTACTGTATTAGCCTACCTGGTCTATTGTCACAGCTCATACAATAAAGCAAACACCCATGATAAACTATGCTTTTCTATCTAACGTTAGTAATTGCTGACTCTTTATTCCAACACTAAGCGAACACTCTGCTCCTCGTCACGGTGCGTCTCAGGTGATGGTTATCACTCTGCCCATGTAGCAGTGCTTCTAGAAAATATAGTATTTATACGGTTAAAAGATGTCTGTGTCTCATATGGCCTTGATATTTGTACACTCTGTGACTATACAAACTACAACATGTAAATAGGAAAACGTTTGCGTTATTTTGTCACTCATTTGGATTAGTATGAAAGCTGCAACCATTCACATCCAGTCTTTTGCTAAGCTAGGCTAGCGGTGGGTGCGTCAAACAGACTTATAGCACGCACGGAGATGAAAAAGGTATGTATGGACTTATCTAACTCTGGGGGGTAAGGTGAATAGGCTAAAGTCCCAAAAAGTCGGAGTGTTCCTTTAAAGAGAAGTGAACTATCTTACAAAAGCTACAGTAAACGAGCTGTTGTCCATGCACAGATAAACACTGCAGTTATAATGTTCAGGAACAGTGTTTAAAAAAGTTAACCACTCTAAGAGCATCTATTTGACATATGTGTGTGTGTGTAATTATATGTTTCGGACCGGAGTTGTATCTGGAGAAGGTCTGCGCCCACTGCTCTCCGGTCTGCGCCAGTACGTGTGCCAGTCGAACCCTCTGCCAGGAGAACAGACTGGCAGGAGTGATGTAGGAGTACAGCGAGGTGTTGAAGACGTTATTCGTGGTCTGGGTCATCATCAAACCGCTGCCCAGCAGATAGAAATCATCCAGAGACACCAGGAACCCTGAACACACAGACAATGTTTGTGAACATTGTTCACAAACACCACACACTGCTACTACTTTATAAAAATGGTACATTATAAATAAAATATAAACACTGGAAAGTATAAAACATTGGAAACTATATACATTGCCCACTCTACTTTTTGCATTCTCTAACAAACAAAGTCAATAAATTGTTGAACCAATGAAAAAAAAATAGACCAAAGTGAACCAAATGAACAAGTGGACCAAATGGACCAATGGACAAATGAACAAGTGGACCAAAATGGACCAATGGACAAATGAACAAGTGGACCAAAATGGACAAATGAACAAATGAACAAGTGGACCAAAATGGACAAATGAACAAGTGGACCAAAATAGACCAATGGACAAATGAACAAGTGGACCAATGAACAAGTGGACCAAATGGACCAATGGACGAATCAACAAGTGGACCAAAATGGACAAATGAACAAGTGGACCAATGGACAAATGAACAAGTGGACCAAATGGACCAATGGACAAATGAACAAGTGGACCAAAATGGACCAATGAACAAATGAACAAGTGGACCAAAATGGACAAATGAACAAATGAACAAGTGGACCAAAATGGACAAATGAACAAGTGGACCAAAATAGACCAATGGACAAATGAACAAGTGGACCAATGAACAAGTGGACCAAATGGACCAATGGACGAATCAACAAGTGGACCAAAATGGACAAATGAACAAGTGGACCAATGGACAAATGAACAAGTGGACCAAAATGGACCAATGGACAAGTGGACCAATGAACAAGAGGACCAAATGGACAAATGGACGAATGAACAAGTGGATCAACGGACAAATGAACAAGTGGACCAAAATGGACAAATGGACGAATGAACAAGTGGATCAACGGACAAATGAACAAGTGGACCAAAATTGACAAATGAACAAGTGGACCAAAATTGACAAATGAACAAGTGGACCAAATGAACAAGAGGACCAAATGGACCAATGAACGAATGAACAAGTGGACCAAATGGACCAATGGACGAATGAACAAGTGGACCAAATGGACCAATGAACGAATGAACAAGTGGACCAAATGGACCAATGGACGAATGAACAAGTGGACCAAATGGACCAATGGACAAATGTGACCCTGAACCCACAAAACCAGTCACAAGGGTCAATTTTTTGAAACTGAGATTTATGCATCAGAAAGCTAAAGGTAAATAAATAGCCTTCCATTGATGTATGGTTTGTTAGGATTCAACTATTTGAAAATCTGGAATCTGAGGGTGCAAAACATTTTTTAACATTAAGACAAATCGCCAACGGACAAATGGACCAATGAACCAAATGGACCAATAAACTAATGATCGAGTCAATGATCAAATGAGTCAATGATCAAATGAACCGATGACCAAATGAGCTGATAATCAGATGAGCCAATGACCAAATGAGCCAATGACCAAATGAGCCAATGACCAAATGATCAGATGAGCAGTCTATACCAGGGTAGCTGCTGAAGGACAGTTTCCCAGTGGCTGTGTGTGGTTCGCTCAGCTTGAAGTCCCAGTGTTTGTAGATGCGCATGGTGGCGGCGTACGTGTACCAGCTGGAGTGAGCGAACAACAGGTTCTCGTAGCCGGGCAGCATCTAAAACACACACACACACACGGCGAGTGTGAAAAAAACATCACATCAGCCAGCTTCTGATGTCCTTCATGACCTCCACTGACGTCACCTTTATGAGCGCGGAGCAGTGGCCCATCGGAGGAGCTTTATACTGACTCACGAGGGGCGCCTCGCCGGGCACCAGTGCCGGGATCAGGTCCAGCAGATCCCC